CGCCGATGGAGTTTAGTCATCCAGTTTACAGTTTGTGGGCCGGCAAACTGTAAACTGGATGGCTAAACTCCCTCGGCGTGTTATCTCTCTATTTGGCCAATTTCTACTATTTCCAGCCGCGCCCTCAAGCCTGGTAGAGGCTAATGTTTTACCTCGTGAACAAAAGAAGCAGAAATATATTTCAGTTTTAGGTATACTACTCAGAATACTACATTATGCATCATTTACTATTGGGTGGAGTATAAGAAGCATCCGCTTTTGTGCTGTAGAGTAATCATGGAATGCGTCTATATGCAACATGAGCGCAGACAACGACGATGTACATGTACAAGGTAGTCGATACTCAATCCATAGGCATTCTCACAATAGAAAAGGACATCGTTTACGTTTTGTCACATTCAATTGCAAAACGGAAATATTCAGAGTTCTTCAAAACAGTCATGGGGTGAAATATAGGTTACCATCGATTGAGCAATTCAAAACCTTATTTCCAAGCAGATTCTGTGGGACATGGGGTCTATATTGGCCGCCTGTATCCACTAAAGCTGGCCAGCAGTTACAGGAGGCCTATGGATGCAGGCTCCAATTGCCCAACAGAATCTGCTTGGAGATAAGTGCAAACCTGGCGTAGCCAAGCGTTACTGCTAAGCCAGAGCAGCACAGTAGTAGAAACTGGTCATAGGGCAACAACATTGTAAATATCACAACACCAGCACCCCGTTTTCTGCACCACGCTGTGATTTGTGTTGCTGTGTTTGACGTCACTTTTGTTGTTGTTGTTGTTTTTGTTTACTCACCACCACCAGCGGTTGCACCAGGGGCAATGACCGTTCTCCCTGGACACTGTGCCTCATATAGAGTGTTATCAAGTATGTCACAGATGTACAGAGCTACATGTAGAGAGAGTGAATTAAATTGCCTACTACTGTTTTCAAATTTGAACAGAGTCAATAATTTTTTTCACTGTGTATGCATTCGTTTTGTTTGTGAGCTGATACTAAATGTACCCGACGTTTTAAAATGCATCATGATGTGATGCATTTACATATATACATATACGTGTGTGCGTGTAATTTTGTGTATTTACATCACCTCATATGCGTATAAAATTGTGTGTATTAATACTACCTCTCAGTTGCATTCTTTTCCTATCGAGTTTTGATGAGTTTGATGACCAAGTGTTTGCATGGTTGACATGACGACGGGGTACGTTAGACATTACCTTTGACATATAGCTTTTGACTCAGAAGATAGTCAATTATTGACATCGTCGCCGCGGCTGCGTGCGCATTGAATAGCATGTAAGTTAGTTTTGAGTATACAATGCCCCCATCACAGCGTCTTTACAAGGACTTGAACCGAGACGGCTAAAAGTCCAGACCGAGCTGAGATCATAAGTTATTTGTGTGGAAGTTTAATGTTATTCGGTCCCGTTGGTCTCCCCCTTCACTATTTTCTCACGCCTTTGAAGAAGTGATAACTCATTTTATCCTCAATTGTCAACGCGTACTTGGTTGGCAACGCGCGCCCTTACTACTACAGCATAGTCTCCACCAGACTAGCTACGCTGGCAACACACAGGGAGACTATTGCCAGGGATTTGGCTGCCTTGGGGTTTGACTGGCCGCGCAGCAGCTACTAGTAGTATGGACACCCTACTGTCATCAGTCTGCCTTTCAGTCCTCTTTTTGGCCGTACCCGGCAGTGGAGGTTAGTAAATGACATCATTTACATGTCAGGATTTCCTTTAGAAAAGGTATACGTCTTGAACAGGAGTAAATACGTCAGCGATGCAGTAAAATATGGCATGGAAAACGTTGCCCGGAGGCTGGGGACGGCCTATACGTCCCTTTATATCACCATTTGTACCATTTTATGGAGGGATTCTATCCAACCCTGTTTCTTCAGATCCATGCAGCGACTACATTGTACTAAATGAGGCATGGAGAAACGTCCAAGTGAACGATGGTAACACCGATCGGTGTGATAACGGGTTTGCCGGAGAGTGGTACCGCTTCATGGAGCCAGCGGGGACCGCCATGCCCACAGAAGTGCCCCCGACCTGGAATAGATGCGGCACCAATGCCCCGATGTGGATGAACGGACAACTCCCCACCCTTGCTGACGGTGAAGTGTCCCGCCAGGCGTGTGCCTACTGGGAAGATAACACCTGTAACTGGCAAGCCACCATCCAAGTGCGGGCCTGCGACGCCGGCTACTTCGTGTATAAACTACCCGCCACTCCCAACTGCAATATGGTCTACTGTGGGGCGTCGCCAGTAGGTGAGTATGCCATCCATAGAACACTGCTGGTTCTACATGTTCCATTGTTGTATGGGGGTATAGATTATTGGCATACTTTTGGACAGGGGTGATTAGGAACAGTCCATTTCGTGCGCGGCAGAGGGACAAACGTTAGGTCCATTTTTGGTACGGGGGATGTGATGAAGCCATCTGTATTTGCTCCCGAACAAATGTCGGCCTTTCTAGATGAAAGGTCAGTTTCTGATACTAGATTTTATCCAACCCTGTTTCTTTAGATCCATGCAGCGACTACATTGTACTGAATGAGGCGTGGAGAAACGTCCAGCAAGTGAACGATGGTAACGAGGATCGGTGTGATGACGGCTTTGGCGGAGAGTGGTACCGCTTCATGGAGCCTGCCGGAACTGTCATGACCACAGAAGTGCCCCCGAGCTGGAATAGATGCGGCACCGATGCCCCAATGTGGCTGAACGGACAACTTCCCACCCTCGCTGACGGCGAAGTGTCCTACCAGGCGTGTGCCTACTATGAAGGTGACACCTGCGCCTGGTCAGCTACCCGACATGTCCGAGTGCGGGCCTGCAGAGCCGGTTACTTTGTGTTTAAACTATCCGACACTTCCACGTGCAATCTTGTCTACTGTGGGGCGTCGGTAGGTGAGTAAACCGTAGTTTACTAGCTTTAAACGAGAGAAATTCCCGAGAAAGGCTGTAGCAGCCCGATCGAAAATTGGCTTGTTGCACTTCGTATGTTGAAGCAAAGCTAAACTTTACTGGGTGAAAACGTAACCATTTTGGCCAAGTAAGATTACACGTGTAATGGTTATTTTCTCGCAGATACGTCGTTTCTTGAAATTCCAACTACCGAGATACCCACGACGCCGAGACGTTCAATAACCCCAGTCATCACCACGGTCCGTACTACACAGGCCACAACAACTGTTCCTGAGCGCACCACTACCCAACAGACGACACAAAGGACACATCCTCCAGAGACAACTGTTCCTGAGCGCACCACTACCGACCAAACTACACATGTACAGCGCACAACAACTGACCAGACGACACAATGGCGAACACACCCCGAAACAACTGTTTCTCAGCGCACCTCTTTCCAGACGACAAGCTTAGTTGGTACGTGCACTGTCTTGGATTCTTGATCCTTTATTGCTTCATTATTAGCTGTATAAGGTTGTACTTTCATGCATACAAGTGCATACTAGAGTTGTTTGAAGGCCAAATACAAAATATACCCAACGTTGTTTGTGGTCTGTTCTTCGTGTCCAACAATTGACGAATTCTATCGTTCTTTTGCAGGCGGGGAAGCTTTCAAATCTACCGGTTCAGGGAATGGCAACACGCCGCTTACAATCGCACTGGCATGCGTTGGCTGTGCCGTGGGTTTAATGGGTATAGGCGGCGTGTTGATGTACTTTGGCAAGAGACGCCAGCGAAGACGCCAAGTGGCTCAAGATCCGAAGGATTGACATGAAGAAGAACGCGTTCAACCTCAAGGCAGAGTGTTGGACCACGTGAACAAAAGAATCAGAATATTTCAGTTTTCGCTTTGACGTTCTCACTTTTTGTTGTTGATGTTGTTGATGTTGTTGTTGTTTACTCACCACCACGACTGGTCGCACCCTAGACTACGAAGGCCCATTGGGGATTTTAAAAGTCTGCCACTATAGCAAATTTCATAGCATCCACAATGGGTTTTTGGGGGTGGATTCTCGAAATTTGCTGTCGTAAACTCGTCGCACGACGAAAGTGCCAAGGATCTGATCGTATAATCATAACTATAGCTACACAAATGAAAGTTTCATGAAACGTTGAACTCAAATATCACATATCTTTATTGATAGTTAACCATCATAATCAAGGGTCTGCTCGCAAGGCGAACATTACAATCGTTTCATAAACATCGTTAAAATCTGGTACCACTTACTGCTCTATACTTTATCGCTAAGATTGTGATCTCAGAGATACTTAAGTTTCCTTCTGCTACCAAAGTTCTTTTCTGAGTGAGGACTATCTAACTCCGGTCTTCTCTGCTGTTTTCTGAGGGACCCCGAGAAGGTTAGTTTACAGTCGCCCGATCTGTGTACGCACCAACTCATCTCACTGGCTCGGTGACTGCTCTTTGGTGTTTTCGCTCGGCAAGAACTTCTCTGCAACTTGAGTCTGAGATTTCCCGATCGTTCTACCACTGACCATTCTGGACCAGGAGGCGATGCAAATTCGTTTGTATCGCCTGCTTTCGCCGTGCATAAGCGGAGGGTCAAGTCATTCGACTGTGCAACAACAGCCCATCCTGCAGTACAAACTGCCGTTGCTAGATGGCGCTCTTGCCTTGCAGCATCACCAGGATTACAACATCCCGTCATGACGTCACCGGTACTGCCAAAGACTTTGCTGTTGCCTTTCATGGTCGGAATGTTAAGTTGTGGTGAGCTGGGGCATTTTTCTTGGCCCGACGATGACGACGTACTCTGAAGGACCGCGGAACCTGCCCGTCTTTGGCGCCGCTGAGGTGGAAACGAATCCGTTGACGACGAAGAAGAAGAATGTGAATCCGACGAAGAGTCTTCGGATTCACTGGAACTTCTTTCCGCAAGGTTTTTAGACCTTGTTTGGTGGACGTCCGCGATGTTTTTGCGTCTGTTATCCGCCCTACCACGACCTGCTACTGATTGCCGCTGATCTCGCACCTCTGTTTCTCGCGAGTCTTTGTCGATCGCTGCCGAAGTGCTGTTCTTGCTCTCAAAAACGGAATGAGGGGATGAACTTTCAGTGGATGCTGAGGATGGACCGTTGCAAGAGGAACGTACAGAGGATGAGGATGGGGAGGAGGGTGGTTCTGAGGAAGAAGCATCAATGGAAAACGAGGAGGAAGAGATGGCGGCAACAGCCTCTGTCGTATCACGCGAGTCCTCATCATCCTCCTTGCATTCAAATTTGTCAGTCGAAACGCCATGATGCTCTTTTGCGGCGTCGCCTTTCGTTTCGTTCTTGATACTTGTACTTGTCCGTCGTTTCGGGTAACTTCCCTTTCTCACGTCTGCGAATGTTGAATTGCTCCCTTGTGTTGTTCTAACGGACGTAACATCGGGCATTGGAGATAGAACAACAACCGGAACCCTTTGCTCTTTATTCAAGTCTTTATCTTGTCGCCTTGTCTTCAATGCTGGTTTGTTAAGCACATTGAATGTACTGTTATTCGCTCCTTTGTTGTTGTGATGTTCCGCTTTCCGGTTTGTTATCTGGTGTGTCAACTGTTGACCGTCTTGCGCATGCGCCCTTCCCTCCCCGATAGAGGACAGTAGAAACACGTCATCACTGCCTTCCGTACCGGACCTGTATCACGTGATGGTAAAGGTAAAAGGTCATGAAATAGCCAACAATAGAATGCCAAACTAGCAATAGCCAATTATAAAGACAACAATAGCCAATGATAAACCAGCAATAGTTAATGATAAACTAACAGTAGCCAGTGCTAAACCAGCAATAACTAATACTAAACCAGCAATAACCAATGATAATCTAACAAAACCAATGCTAAACCAATAAAAATCAATTTTCACTTAGATTCCTCACTGAAAGTCATTGAAACTTGTTTTACAAGTTAAATACACAAAGAAAATCCTGTTCGCTGGTCATAACATGTATAACATAAGGCATATGACTTTTAAAAGAGCTTGACTTCCTACCGTCGTTTCTCTGCGATTTCTTCCCCCACAGCTGGACTGGTCGACACCTGTGCTTCTTGCAGAGCCGTGTCGTCCTCCTTCGGTGGATTTTCCGCCGCAACTTTCTTGAAGAAGTCACCCAAGGAAGGTAAGGTTGCGAGTAGGGAGTCCAGTTTGACAAAGTTGCCGCTGTCTCGAACGAAAGACTTGTGCTTGTCCCCCTTCAGATGCAGGGTTAAGCCCTCCTGGTAGTAGAAAATTTATTGCAAATTCATTGGTGCGATATAGCTAGCTGCCGCCGCGCCGCGTGCCTGCGAAGCTGGTGTGTTAGGCCGAAGGGCGGTTATACCGGCTATATACAGATACAGATGCCCAAGGGCTAATTGCAAGAACATGATAACAAAATAAACAGTAAAAACGATCATAAGTAATGCTAATGCTACTTTGGATACACTTATTTGTTGGGTTTGATCTCTCTTATAGTAGTACTAAAGTAGATACCTGATAGTAGACCTCGCAGCATTCGCAGTAACCCTTCTGGACGTCCGGTTTTGTGGCGGTGACCGGGGTTTGAGGCTTTATGAACCAATGAATGAATGTATTTTATTATTGTGTCTTGCGACTTATTGTCGCCCAGCCCATATTCGCTTATAAGACACCAGTACATAAGTCACATAAAAATTTTATAAATCCGAGTCAAATCAAATGTCATACTGGAGACATCAACTTAAGAACTTAATGCAACGTTAAAGTGGTACATGCATGTAACTTAAATTGGTACATAAAAGTCACCTCAAAAGTGCATAAAGTCAACTGAAAACTCAAAAGTGCATAAAGTCAACTGAAAACTCAAAAGTGCATAAAGTCAACTAAAAAGTACTTTAACAAAAGCACTCCACCTTTAGCTTGAGGGAACAACTCGGACGGGACGGCAGGCGGCGGACAGGGGCGTCGAAGGGACAGTCGGCGTCGGCGTCGAAGTAGACCCGGGGGAACGTTGTGAACTCGTGATGGAGAGGTCTGTAAAGCCTGTGACGAAGGGAGATGAAATGATATTTGGTATCTAACGTTATTGTACATCGGCAAAATTTCCACGGTTAGAACTGGCCATCTAGAGAGAGAGGGAGAGGGAGAAGGAGAGAGAGTATTCTATCCTATCTTATTCTATTCTATTCTATTCTATTCTAGTCTATTCTAGTCTATTCTATTCTATTCTATTCTATTCTATTCTATTCTATTCTATTCTATTCTATTCTATATAAGCGCTTGATTCTACTTCCATGTTCAGTCCAAGTTGAAATCTTATGCTATATGCTAGTTACCTGGACATGTCCTCCACTTTGATAAAAGGCGGCTTCAGGCGTTTTGGCTTGGCGTCTGCGTTTTCCTCAGCGGGACAAGCTGCGTTTTCCTCGCTCTCCGCTAGGAGGCGGTACTTCTCCATGAGACGCTGCACCCTGGCCATGACGTCGCGCACGTACAGGACCTTGACTCCCCACTCCTGCGCCAGGCCCAACATGTTGCAACTCCCGCGCCGACCGCGACCCTGGGCTTTCTAGCAACAAGTTACGAAAACAAAATACAGGACTTAATTTGCGGATTTTTTCACGGATAGGAGCATCTGGTACCTTACTTGTCTCATCCCCATCCTATATCAGTATATCAAGGCACAGATATTCCGATAGCACGTTGACAGTCAATGATTGCTAAAATAACTGTTTTTTTTTTCTGTGCAAGGGTAAAAGAACCTGTTGGTTAGTATGTTTGTGAGTTTGTGAGCACTAACCTGTAGGAGAGCCTGTCCCCTAGTTATTGGGACGCTGGTGGAAGCTCTTCTCCCTTGAGTTCCCTCCTCCACCCCTGGGCTTGGACTTGGACTAGGACTGATGTACGTGCTAATATATGTAGGCCCTGGAAACAGTCTGGTACCCAGGCTATCAAACTACTAACCTGTAGGAGAGCCTGTCCCCTTGTCAGCGGGACGCTGGTGGAAGCCCTTCTCCCCAGAGTTCCCTCCTCCACCCCTGGACTAGGACTGGGACTGAGGTACGTGCTAATATATATAGGCCCTGGAAACAGTCTGGTACCAAGACTATCAAACTACTAACCTGTAGGAGAGCCTGTCCCCTAGTCAGTGGAACGCTGGTGGAGGCTCTTCTCCCCTGAGTTCCCTCCTCCACTCCTGGGCTTGGACTTGGACTGGGACTGAGGTACGTACTAATATGTAGGCCCTTTAAACAGTCTGGTACCAAGGCTAGCGCTATCAAACTACTAACCTGTAGGAGAGCCTGTCCCCTAGTCAGCGGGACGCTGGTGGAAGCTCTTCTCCCCAGAGTTCCCTCCTCCACCCCGGGACTAGGACTGGGACTGAGGTACGGGCTGGGGCTGGCCCCGCCCCCGCTGGCAGGTCGTGACGCCAGGGCCTCCTTACGGTTCGTCACGACGTAGGAAATGTCTCTGCTGAGAAACGTCTCTATACGCTGGGGAAAAAATAAAACGTTTCAATCATGTCTCTATACGCTGGATAAAATGAAATGTAACATTTCAGATACGATGTAAAAATTATCTCCAACACAAAGGGTACCGGTAGACAGGGATCAAATTTTCAACGACCACTGTCGCCTTCATCAGGATAATTAATGGCCAATTACAAAGTCCTGTATCGCGTCCTTGGGATTGCGACCTTTTCCAGTAGCGCGCATGTTGACAACAACTGGGATTCGAACTCCCAACCTCTTGGACCAGAGGAAGGGTTGCTAAACCGGGTACCGCTGTACTACGCTACTATTTCAACTTAGTCAGGGGAAGCATGTAAACATCACTTCTATTTGTAGCTATATTGATATACATATAGAATACAACACGGGGTATTCCGTATCGCCCGAGGTACCAGCCCGACCGCGCGTCGGATCGCCCGACGGCCGAAGGCCGGAGGGAGATCCGATCCGCGGGAGGGCCGGGACCGAGGGTGATGCGGAATACACCGTGTTGTATTTTATTTATGTCATACCCACCCAAGAAAACACGCCTTTTAATGCGAAATAGGCGAACATTTGGTGTCCCTAAACCCAAACAATGCAACAACATCAATTCCAACGTCCGAATTTTGTGTTCGAATTTTCGAAAGCGGTGCAAGCGGTTAGGGCGAAACGCGTTCGAATCGTTCAATGGAACATATGGAAGGCCCGGGCCGTACGCGTTAAGAACCCCCGGGCCGTACCGCTAGTTATCACACGGGCCGGAACACCCGTATCGAACGTAATCGCGGCCCAGGTAGGACATAAAAACTGTTATGACTCACGGCGCCCAGAAACTTGAGGTCACCCTCCAACTCCTTGGCATTTCTGAACCCGGGCAAGTCCAAGTACAGAGATTCGCCCTCTAGCGGTTTCTTCACGAAGTCCAAGCGGCGTCGAACCTTCGCGGCGCTCCCCGGCGTCCCCAATGCCATCTCAACACACTGGGAACGAATACTGGCCATTGAGAATTAATTTTGCAGTCATAGTGGGCTTAGATAACAACGATATACACATAGGGTTTGATGTGTGACTGTACGGTCTATCTAAATATAGTTGATAGTTGCAGCCTAGGAATTCATATACTAGTATAGTACCGAGGTTGTTGTCAGTGTTTTTGTGATCGTATTGTTCTCTTTGCTAGTACTTATAGCGGTGCCGATGAGTTTCAACTTGAACCTTGCTTAGTAGTACTTGAGCTTACTTCTCATCAGTAAAATTCTTATCTTCAAGCAGATCTTGGGGTGAAAGATTGTAACGTTTCTTGTGGTAGATGGCTGTTAGACGAGCCTGGTTGTAAGAAAAAGGCTCAAATCTTCCCTCCACCTAAACTATCTGCTTGAAAGAACAGTAAATTTTAGTAAATCTTACCTTTGGATTCTCTGCTATCACCGATGTGATTCAAGCTCTTCTCGTGAGTCGAAAGTACTCCAGGTTTTTCCTAACGTGTAGTTCCATGAGTGTGCCGGGTGGGAGGGCGAGGGACAGAAATTATTTTGTAGGAAACCCCAGCCAGGCATTCAGCTGGCCCTCCATGTGTGCCCGGCATTTACATATTCATTCGTCCCTGGTAATAGGATCGGTTTTGTACCAACACGACGTGACGTGATAATCCCGTGAGTATGCAGATCATGTTGAGACAACTGGTCCTAGCAAATTAGATTTTAAACTTCATTAGTACTAGTTCATACGTTGCTTAGATCGAACGCAGATCGCAAACGGTTTTAGACGCCAGAAGCTTTTATACGGGCCAAATTTATTTCATATGCCTTAATCTATTGTGTTCTTTCATAGGCAAGGATGGCCGTATGGACTGACAACCGGTCCGAGTGCCCACGTTGTTCAGATCGCACTTTCATTGTTAGAAAACAGTTTTAGACGTCAGAATCTTTTTCAAGGATTTTGTTACTCAAAATAATGATGACATTAGACGTACGACGTCATTCAGAAAACCTCATGGTATCAAATGCATCTGTTGTTTGAGGACGACAGTGTCTTTATTCTTTTGTTGTCGGTACTTTTCCCAGATTACTTCTCTACAGGGAATGTGTATCAAGAAGCAGCTGTCTCAGATGTAGAATGTCAACTCGCAGATTTTAATTAACAGGTTGATTTTCAACAAAACAAATCGAAGCTCTTAAGAGTTGTGTAAGAAACAGGAGGAGCGAGTACGTAGAAACAGATAAAACCCCTCCTGTGTTGTTTTATTCCTTTGTAAAAGTATTGGGGTTCAAGCGCCACCAACTAACCTGTCTTAGAACCGGTCCGTACCTTTTTAGCCTAGCGGTTGGTGCGTTGGGTTCGTGAGCTGGCGACCCACTCAACGAGGAAGCGCGCGGAAAAAAATACTAAAAGCCTGGTATTGAGGGTTTTCCACTGCTGCCTAGGAACAGAGCATTTTCAAGAGCTCATAGCTCCTATCATATGCACTGCGGTATCCTAATGCACACAATAAATCATTAGCGATATCCCATAATGGGTAAAACTGTTCACCCTAACATAGCAACCAATGGCCTTTAGTGCTCAATAGAGCACTGAAGAGCACCTCTATATTCAATGAACGAATATAGAAGCAAGAAAAGACCAAAGGCCAAGGCTGAAATCCTCATCGGATCGACCTAAAGATGGCATTTACCACTGGAAACATCGCACTTTACGCCTTCCTTTGTGTTCTGAGTGCGGTAACCGTCATTGGAAACGTTATTTCCATTGTCTACTTCTCCAAGAAATTGAACCTCAACGGATCCGGCGATGTTTTCATGCTCAGTTTGGCAGTCGCAGACTTGTTGGTGGGTCTGGTCTCCATGCCGTTGACCATAGCTGAAGAGGTGCTCGGTGGCTCTTTTCCTTTGGGAATAGAAGTGTGTAAAGCTTGGCTGCTGGTGGACTATACCGTCTGTTCAGCGTCGGCCTTCTCAGTCGTCCTCATAAGTCACGACCGGTACCTACAGATTGTAAAACCGCACGAGCATCGCATCGTTACCGCTCGGAAGAGGCTCTGGTCCCTGGTCGCCGCGTGGATTCTCGCTTTTCTCGTGTACGGGCCCGCCATTCTGGCCTGGGACGTCGCCCCCGACATTTGCGAGGCTCGCTACCAGTACCAAAGCAAGGAGTACACGTTCGTGATGGCCGTTGTCGAGTTCTTCGTGCCGTTCTCCGTCATGACGTTCCTGTACGTGCAAGTTTACCGGCACGCGATCGCCTGGCGTCGCCGGCGCACACTGCGTCCAACCTCGTCGATCCCTGCGTCGCGACATCGTAGGTCTCATCAAATCATCCGCAAGTTTAATCGCCGTCTGACAATCAACTTATCTGTTCTGCTTTTCGCTTATGTTGTATGTTGGGTGCCATACATAGCTTCAACGATTGCTATGACAGTTTGCTCTTCCTGTGACGACTCGGAAGTTCCCGTTGTGGTAGACTGGCTGCTTTGGAGCAATTCCACCATCAATCCGTTTCTGTACGCGTTCTGTTCCCTTCGGCAGAGGCCGAGCGCAGCCGATTGGTTGCCGAAATGTTGCCGAAGACACGACGAAGATTCACGAGTGCGACGACGATCGCAAGCCGAGCCGCAAGCTGTTCGATCGTCCGGAAATGTACGAAGGATGACGTTGTGACTGACGACTACTAGCTTGATAGTAGCTGTATGCAATATTGTAGTTTGTATCTATTTCAGAACCTTCTCACCAGCCGACTAGGGTTGGCTTCCCTTGGTTGGCTGAAGTTCGGGAGATTTAGGCATACATTTCTATCTGTACGAATCGAATATGAGTGAAATATATGAGTCATTATTTCACTGCCAACCACGCCACGACCTACTCCCGAACACCAGCCAACCACCAGCCAAACATGGCCGAACATTTTGAAACATTAATAGGCTGACGCAGCCGAACAGTAGCCGACCTTGCTTCCGACCTACTCCGAACCATGGTAGGGGGGAGTTCGGCTCGTGTTCGAGAGGCCATATTCGGCTATGTGTAACAGGGGCTAAGCTAACACCGTCTTCACTATATCACTGAGTATATGTCCTTCTGAGCACGTTAAACTCACCGAAGCAGACTGCCCTCTGGCATATACAATTATCTACATGGCGGCAACACAATTAAGATGACACAGAACAACTAGAAGGACGAGGCAGAATTACCGCTTTATTTGCACGCGACAAACCGCATGACATGTACACACCCTCCAGCTTAACACAGTAATTCATAATCCAGAAGCCAAACAGAGAAAACGGTCACGCTTTTGATGCATACGTTTCTTTCCACACGTATGCCACCTGCCGAGTCAATGTGGGATTTGGGAATACGTGCAGTACGTTGCGTACGTGTATGAAGTATTAGTAGAGAGCCGGGACGTTTCGATGCATATATTATGATAATGTTTTACGCAATGGCTAACCTTGGCAACGCAACGTACTAATGATAGCTGTGGCGTTTCACCTCTGTACAACCTTGTACTGATTGCAGGTTTTCAGATACCGAATAAATACGCAGATTTGAATACCAAATAGTTTATTTCGACGCCACCAATTCTTAACCATTTCGCAACATATTTTGGTGCATATTCTTGCAAACATTGCCTGTTGCTGAATGATTTTGTCTGGAACATATATAGCACAAAATGCTGTCCACTTTTGTGAATAATGTCAACTGACCTACAATTAAAAAACTACATTAGAAAGATTTATGGCATTCAATCGAGTGTGGTTAATTATCGCAAGGACGTCCTTAATTATTTTTAATATAAATAAGACCACGGAATTTCTTTTCGTGACTTGATTTAGTGACATTTTGACCCACACTATTAAAAAAACTCTCGGCTATGTGCACTATTTATTTTGGTCTTTGTGTCTTACGTCAATGTCTGAAGTATTACCGTGGCCGACAAGTACAAAATTTTACACCGCAACTTTTGGTGTTTTACACCGCAACTTTTGGTGTTTTACACTGCAACTTTGGGTGTTTTACACTGCAACTTTTTCTGTGTTTTACACTGCAACTTTTGCTGTGTTTTACACTGCAACTTTTGCTGTGTTTTACACTGCAACTTTTGGTGTTTTACACTGCAACTTTTGGTGTTTTACACTGCAACTTTTGCTGTGTTTTATACTGCAACTTTTGCTGTGTGGAAAACTTACACCCCTCCCCTTTTATAATGGACGGTCCCCCTGTCAGGTAAAAGGTGACAACGAAGGCATGCAAACTACGTCCTCGTAAAAATTAAAGTTTAAATCAGAGTGTGCAGGTATATTATCCATATTCTTCAATCTACTGCTTATCCTTGTAACCAGTGCAAAGTGCTGACTTACTAAAGGATAAAGTCATTGGTTGGTCCAAAGTAAAATAACTTTAACTTAATAAGTAGTACGACTTCTTTGATAAATTTGTTGTGACGCATGGCAGCAAAAAGCAACATAATTTGTAATCACTGGACCTGGTCGAAACATTTTTAAATTTATCCCGATCTATAGGCCAAAGCTAGAAAAACCTTTAGAAAAAAACTAACGTCACAACGTAGCCAAGCTTTTCCTCTAAAAACTTATGCACGAAAAGGATAGCTCAGTCGACGTAGTTTGCATGCCATCGTTGTCACCTTTGACCTGACAGGGGACCGTCCATTATAAAAGGGGAGGGGTGTAAGTTTTCCACACAGCAAAAGTTGCAGTGTAAAACACCAAAAGTTGCAGTGTAAAACACAGCAAAAGTTGCAGTGTAAAACACCAAAAGTTGCAGTGTAAAACACAGCAAAAGTTGCAGTGTAAAACACCAAAAGTTGCAGCGTAAAACACAGCAAAAGTTGCAGTGTAAAACACCAAAAGTTGCAGTGTAAAACACACAAAAGTTGCAGTGTAAAACACCAAAAGTTGCAGTGTAAAACACCAAAAGTTGCAGTGTAAAACACAGCAAAAGTTGCAGTGTAAAACACAGAAAAAGTTGCAGTGTAAAACACCCAAAGTTGCAGTGTAAAACACCCAAAGTTGCAGTGTAAAACACCAAAAGTTGCGGTGTAAAACACCAAAAGTTGCGGTGTAAAATTTTGTTCTTGTCGGCCACGGTAAATAATACGTGTTACATTTGGCACTTGACCAAACCCTGTCTAAAGACCATTGAATTTCCTTTCGTGATTTTGGCCGAGACTAAAACCTCTCGGCTATGTGTATTATTTATTTTGCCTTACGCCAATATTACGTCTTAGGTTTAGCATTAGACCAGCTCTTTTCTAAACGAAGCCTCCTAAATGACGCCAATCTTCGAAATTCCACCCTATAATTGGTGTGGACATGTCCATTTTGGCGGGAAAGCGACCTAACCTGACCCCCCAGACGTCCCACAACTGTAACCAATCACAGAGAGGCATTTCTGCCACGCCTATCTCTTGCCCACCCTTGCCCACGAATTACATCATACCCTTTCCTGTGGAGGCTACCAAAAGGTTTTGACGACACCGATTGTAGCCATTATTGGGACTTTAAGCCTATATTAGGTGAAGCAAAGACTTGTTGACATAAATGCGCCAATTCTATTATTTGTTGTAATACATTTGCGACATAAAATTGCATTTTAAAGTCTAAATCCAGAGAAATTGGCGTAATAGGGTATTTAAAAACCTACAAGCACACCCTTACCACGTGATGTCAACAAAAGCAGAACTACGCCGGTCTACACCGACATACGCACGACATTTTTGATCGAAAATCGGCGGGCGTAGCGACGTGGCAAGCTGTCTTATATCCCAGTCAAGCGATCCTACGTCTACAACCAGACAACGTTTTGAGACACTGTCGTCCTTAGAAAGACTATACGAGCAAGGGACTCGACATGGCAAGCATTCGGCGAAGATAGCGAGGCCGACCGGTACGTTAGAACGGGAGACATTGTGTGATTTACCATCTTGTTGAACCGGTCTGCTGTAACTGTTTCCTGGCCGCCTGTTCTACCATGTCATACGGGAAAGGCTTTCCTGCCAGGATGATGCGGCACTTCTTGGTGCTGTGCCTTTTCTCTGTCGCCACGTTCCTGATCATATCCCTGGATCATAATAGCGTGAACAGGAGTGTCCAGAATCAAGATTTGGCGGGAAAACATCGACCTAGTTTTGTCAAGAACAAGGGGATATACGAGCGACAAATGGAGGAAAGAGGCGAACGGTTTGCGAGGGGAATAAAACTATTACAAGAAGAAGAACAGTCTCGGTGGGAATATCAAGTAGGAAGGAGCCTGAAAAAGGCGGGATCACGAAATCCAGAGTCCAAAACCGAGAGAAACCGAAGGTACACAAGTGCTGTGTTTGATTTGGATGTCCTGGATGATCCTTTTAGTGATAAGCCGAGCTGTCCAGACGACAAGGAAGTTCTGTTGCTTATTTTGGTCACCAGTGCGCCGGGCAATTTCGACCGGAGAAAAGCCATTCGCGCCACTTGGGGCAATAGAACCGCCGGAGACTCTTGGAGAAAATACGGAGACAAACCGGCAACATGGAAAACTGTTTTTCTGTTGGGAAAAACGCCAGAAAACCCCTCCCTAAATTTCTTTCTCGAGAAGGAAGCACGCGAGAATGGTGACATGCTATTCGGTGATTACATCGACTCTTACCGCAACTTGACATTAAAAGTTCTTCACGGACTAAAGTGGGCAAGAGACGAATGCGAGCCAGAATTCCTCCTCAAAACCGACGACGATTGCTTCGTCAACACTCCCTTGTTCCTGAAATTGTTGCAAGAACACAGACCACACAAGACAGACTTCTACACTGGAAGTGTCTTCCAAGGATCAAAACTGACCGTCATACGTGACCCACGTAGCAAGTGGCATGTGAGTGAAGGTGACCATCTCTCAAACTCATACGCGCCCTACGCGAGCGGCATAGGTTACATGCTATCCAGACAAGCTTTGGAGAAGATTTTGGATGTGGTAAAATTGGTTCCCCCGTTTCCGATAGAAGATGCCTACATAGGAACGTTGGCAAACAGGGTGGGGATAGCTCCTCTGGATAGTGGACGATTTTCTCTGCATCATGGAATGTGGCGGACATGTAACTATCTGTATCTTTTGGTGGTCCATCATGTACCTATAGAGAACATACCCGTGACCATGCAGAAAGTACGGGACGCCCCGTTTCAGTGCAGGGGGAGTAAGGTGCACGGGACATGGGGCTGAACATGACCGGGGGTCGACCGTTTTCGCAGAGGGGGAAGGACAAGTGTGAAAAGTGAGTTGCAGAAAAAAATGGACAAGAAAGATATTTATTCAGCATAAGAAAATGTGTTATAGAGTTTATTGTGAAGAAGGTTTCTTTGTGTTGAGCACGATGTAAAATGAACAGTCCCTGAAATATGATATTTATCCTCAAATATTGTCACACAGTTGTCTTTTAATCCTGGTTAAAAGATTATGCAAATTTTGGGCACATTGTAGCTCTAGAGTCCAAACAAGGATGTTATATTGCCATAGTTAATCCGAATCCCATATGTGCTTTGGGTCTAATGTATTATTTATATCAGCTTATGTAGGTTATAGCCCTATTTGTTTGACCAAGGTTATATGGTTTGACACACATTGTTTTTTTATTTTTTTATTCCGAAACATGTAATCACAAGACGTGGTGACGACACACTCAAGTTTTTTCAACTTATATTAATGCTGTCACCAACACAGGGACAGTACAATACTCATTTACACCTGAGCGAAGTGAGGAAAGTCGTGTAAAGTGCCTTTCCCAAGGGCACAAGATCGGTGGCATGTCAGGACTCGAACCCGGGGCCTCTGGTTCCGAGTCGAGAACGCTGCGCCACACGACCCCACATACACATTGTTATAATGTTACTTTCCATTGGCTTCCTTTAGAGAGTGTTTTTTTAAACTCCTCACTTGAATGAGAAAATCTAATGGTTCTACCAAATTGTACAAACCTTGATTTCATCATGAACAAAAATTTCCCATTATATTATTTTTGTAGATATTTGTAGAACTACAATGCAGGTGACTTTGGGCTAATAGTGCAGTACAAAATTACCACAATTTCTTCAAATACTGATAAACTGTAAACCCATAACCATTGATTTGCAACCAGTGTATGTCAGACTAACATTATTCATTAAAGTATGTTGGAGAGAGGAACCATGACATATTTATTTACTTCTCAATAATATTGTACATGTAGCCTATTGGTGCAATGTTGTCTTGCCTGTGTTTCTATTTACCAAGGTATTTATCCACTCTGGAGCTGATATTTAGTTAAAACTATACGATGTACATTGTGTATGTGAAGTTTTCCTACCAATAAGTTACTGGGAGGAAAGAACATGTTTTCTGACTGCCCCCATTCTTCTGACAGCTGGCTCTTTCTAAAAGACTAAGGGCAGTCAGAAAATGGACCTTTCCTCCCAGTATCTGCTTGGAGATATGTATATATCAACAGGTGAGAACTGTGTTGTGTATAATAGATGTGCCAAAACAATATTCGCAGTCACTGAAAAACAGTACCAGTCTTGTGTTTTGGAAATGGTCAGTAGCTATAAATTACAACCTTCCAATAGTGAAACAACAAGTCAATGCAATGTAATGTAAAGAACTGTACAATGTTATGTATACATATTGTAGGATAATGTAAAAGAGTTTAGTTTTGTAGAAAAATGCTATATATATAATAGAAAGATGTTATTTTGAATTTATGCCCCTGCAAGTCAGGGGGTGTTCTATGGATCAATGTGATCCTACGAGCCTGTTATGTTTGAAGTAAATGTGATTTAACAGTATGACAAAAGTATAAGCAATACAGTGAGCTTTGTGAATACTATCAGTGATTGTATGACACGGCTGTATATTGTGTTGAGTTTTTCAACAACTCAAGCTGTCACCCTCAACATATGTTGAAATACAATGAAGGAGATAGATTCAACTGACTCCTGTAAGGTAACATTTGGTAATGATTTTTCTTTTCTTCTAAAATCTAATGTTAAAATCAATGCCAGAAAATTCAAAGGCCAGCTACTAGTACATGAAATAATGATAATAAAGTAAATGTGCTGAGAAATAACAGAATTTCTTCAGTTTTGCCCCCCATGCCAGTCTTATGTTGTGTACCTTTAATTTTGCCCCAGACTTTCAAACAAACCTTAAGTAGATCCTCCCTGGCACTTAAGTGGTAGCAGATTGAGATAAGATGCGAAACTCAAAGTATGCCAACAGAACTTGACCTCTGTACCTTAAGCTTCCCCATGTGTGGATATATACAGAGAGGTCTATTCTGAGTCCACAGTGTCTTGTCTGGTATCCAATGTTGTGAACTTGCAATATATCTAGAGTTGACAAGAATTACACTCGGAGAAAAATCAACCATTTTACCATTGAAATTGTACAGAATAGTCAATGCAGTTTTGTCACAAAGCCATCTGACATTCACAAACTTTACTTTCTATGGATGATATTTTTTGAGGCTCCCAAGTAGGGAAAAACAAAAACAGAGACTTCATTATTGATTTTTGAGTGGCGAACATATCAGAGCCTCTCAGTATAAGGATGTGTATACATGTACTTCCTGATAGCTGGAAACATGCCAGAATCAATATGTCTGCATACCGATGACATATCGTCATCCTAGCTAACTTGATGTCGCCTGAATTCAGTGCAAGAAACCTACACAGTAGGGCCATGGTAGTACTAGTAGCATATCTGCTAGCATAACTGCTAGTACTGTGGTTTATGGACAAATTATGTCAGTCTTTCAGGCAGCCAATTGTTATTGTGTGTGTACGTTTGTATGGTGCATGTGTCCTGAGAACCCATGTCTTTTGTTCTGGACACTGGAGCTCGGCTACCTGATAGCCGGTCAGGCCGAAAATAGAATGGTAGGAATGTGGTTGTCATAGAAATAACTTCAACCTTACCCTCCCCTTAAGTGTTGTAACAGTAGGCTAATGTGGGCAAGAGTTCAACTGGTGGTTCCAAAGCAGTGCAGTAGAAGCTACAGGCTATTTTATAGATAGATATGGATCTTGCTAAAAAAAAAAGACTTGCATATGATGCATTGGATAGAAAGAGAGAAGAGGGATATGCTAATCAACCAAGATGTAATATTAACGTTCTGTTATCTATGAAGCAATTAATTTATAGCTATGTCATGAGTAACGTTAATAAGTATAAAATGTATAAGCTATAATATATTGTGAATACATGTATATGTAACTGGTCAAACCCGAAAATAAAGTCTACTCTAACTTAAATTCTGTCCTTTATAGAGTTTATAGAGTACTATACTAGTTTACAATAACTCGTATTAGTATTAAGGCATGGGGGGGGGGAGCGGTTTACAAATCTATTGCCCACATTGCAGGATGTAACACGGCACTACTTAAATGTTTCTTCCTGTAGCAACTCGTAAATACCGAAGGGAAACAATGTAAACACTGCATATTTGCCTGTGGATTTTCTGCCAGCAAGTATTGGCACACCATATTAACAAACCTTGATAACATCAGAAGCGCCGCTGTGACTAAATACAATGGGCAATTTCTAAGCCTCGGGCACTGAGCTAAATTGTTGCAATTGTTTACTTTGCATGCGATGGCGGTACCGGTGTTCACAGAGCGTGAGTGAAGAAGTCTCACTCGACCGTGAATATGATAAATAAGATATCCAACAATCCATGACACATGAATTCAACATAGTCTTAGATTAGTTAGAATCTAGGATGCGCATTTTACAGTAACGATCACCGCTATTAGGGAAACAAGCTAGCGTTCTCCTCACCTCGAAAAAAATCTGGTGAAAAATTAGAAAACCTCTTAAAATGTACAAAATCTGCGTAAAAACATGCTTTCAAGCAGGACAGGTAAAAATACGACGAGAAAAAAAATTCTAGCAGAGGGTGGTTTCGATCCACCGACCTCTGGGTTATGGGCCCAGCACGCTCCCGCTGCGCCACTCTGCTTTGTTGAGAATGGGTAGAAATTCTATAGGTACTTATAGTGTGTTCTATTGCATCATCTTTCTATCGCTTGCGCTTTGGACACAAATCGCTAGGTGGCGCTTCTGACACGTGCGCTGTACTGCTTGCGTTGCAACTAACGCATGCCTGAAAGGGGGCGCTGCGCAAAGACGCTATATTGGGTAACGTTACGTTACTAGAACCGCAAAAAGTTTCCTAGAAGAATAGTTTCATTGCTTTTCCAGTGTTTCGCAGTGATCAAAACATCAGACAATAGGAAACCACTCCTTTTCTCAAACCCACATTTTACTGCATATCAACTTCTTTCTTTGGGGGGAGGGCATAACAAAGTGAAACCACATTAAAATTCAGGCAGGTTTTTAGAGTTATTAGAAACTAAAGACATCAGAGAATTAGCTTCTATACTTGTTGAGAAGTAGTTTATGATAGACCCCTTCCAATAACACCAAAGTCAAAAAAGAAAACTGGTATATTTCATCTCAGTCTTTATTTACATAACTATACTACGACTGTATAACTGAAATTGAATTCATTTAAGGTATGACTCTATCCATATTTCTTGTCATCATATTTCCAAGATGTTGACAATATGGCAGCAACTGTTACAGGAAGAACTTTCTTCTGCTTGTGTCCATTTCATGCCGCTGGAAAAGAAGAAACAATCTTTTGTTAGTGACACAATGTGCAAATCCATATTAGTGAGCTGAGATGATATATACAGTCTCTCTCTCTCTCTCTCACACACACACAAAATGACACACATACATACACACATACTCTCTTATACACAAGCACACTCATTCTCTCTCTTTCCCTCTCTCTCTCACAGACAATGTATGTTAAATGTACCTTGTGGACCCACTCAAACTCCCCAAACTTGGAGTCAAACGTGCCCTTCTGTAGAGACCTGAGCTTCAGGGTGAACCGTGGTCCCAGCTCGTTCAGACCAACCCGCTTGTTGTTCTTAAACAGATACCTGAAAATCCCATAACACAGACAGGTAAACAAACATACAAAGAGCTGCATGCAAAGACAAATTATAGCCAAAACAACTACAATGTACTTTTATTTCATTGAATCTTCTTCCAAGGAACAAGGTAGAAAAGGATACTCTTCCTTTGAGAACATAACATGTATTTGACCTTTAAGGTACATTTTGTAGCTTACTCTGACAGACTTCAAAAGGACTTCACATCATTTTATGTCTAAGAACTGTCCTTGTATATTCATAGAAACAAGAATGCCATCCTTTTAACTTTCTCCCTGCTGCCTAAACCTGTAACCTGTAGATAATTGGTAATAGATAAGTGGCTACATCAGAGTGATAAAGGTTAATGTCTGATGTCTGCACTTATGATGTCTGATGTCAAAGAAGAAATATGTCTGGTTGTAGAAGATTTTAAAGTACTTCAGTTCCACACAGAAAATGGCATGTGCAGAGTCTTTTGAACACCAAGGGTCAGACTAAATGTACCTGTGATGTCTGAAGAAAATAAAGTCTCTCTGGTTGTGGAAGGTGACAGCCTGACGTCCTGAGAACTGTGGGTCGTGAGGGAAGAGTGCTGCGAACATGCGAGCCACCGTGTGGCCCAGACGGGTGTTAAAGTTGTTGAGGATAACCTCAGGGTGATGTTCTGTTGACTTTGTTGCTCTCTGGGTGCAAACACAACATTTGGACACTTGTCAATAATTTCATCATGTTGGCAAGAGACTATATAAAAGGTCTTTCATTCAACATCACATTGAAAACTGAAAGCTATGTTTATATTTTTGGTACCGGACATTTGATATTTTTCTTGTAAAGTAGAGCAGAGTAGATGTCTTCGGCCAGGTAGGAGCTTAAGTTACAGTTTAGTCTACAGTAGATTAACAGAATTCAAACAAAAGAACAACATGAGACAGTACCTTGATTTCATCATGTAATTTAACATTGCTGATCTTGAAATGAGCAGTAGGCCCATCTGGCAGATGACACAACAACATACCATCTAAAAAACAGGGTTAAGGATACTGCAAAGAACAGTCAATTTTGAAAATTGTCAGGACAAAAATTCTATTGTTATAATCCATTTTATCATCTACAGAGAACAGTATCTGTAATGCAGTCCCAAACCTACAGGAGTGTGACATAAACATAATTGTTGAGAAGTAAAAAAAAAAAAGAAACCAAAGAGTTATGGTCACTGAAACACTGCCTGAATATAATACAATACAATATATAATGCCTGGTTGTGTGAAAAGAGTTCCTCTAGTCAGAACCATCTGTATCTGTTTGACTTTCTCAGTGTAAAGGATACTGGGCTTTCTTCTGTCCTCATTAACGACGATGATGTCTGTGAACTCCTTGGCCAGCGCCTGAGGAATCACCTTCTTAAGATCCAGGCCCCTCCGGTAGTACACCTCAGAGTTGGGGATGCACTGGCCGAGCTCCTTAAGGAAACGTGTGGTCGTCTGGAAGGAGAAAAGAACTTTTCACTCTTTGTTCATTCATTGTAATCAAGGGATGGATATTACTGGAAAAGGAAAGTGATCTCGATCCAGTTTTAGCTCACTAATGAGCTAATCTTCCACAGGTTGTGACAGAGAAGACAGACGCTATTTATACTACAATGTATTACAGTATTTACAGGCTCACTGTACCAGGGATATTCCCCTAGCTCTAAGCTTTTTGACAAGCACTATGAAAAGTGGACCACAGCTTAACGCCCTGACCTAGGGACTACGACCCTCTCCATGTCAGGTGAGCGACAACAGCTGGGATTTGAACTCCCAACCACTTAGTCGAGAGGCAGGGTCGCTAACCACTGGACTATGCACACAAGGTTACTTAGTATTGTGATAATTGATAATACTTACACTTCTAGGTCTATCACTGCTGGTGATGAGGACTTTAGGCCTGGTGTCTCTACTGAAGTAAGAAGCCATCTCATCATGGGCCTCGTCATGGAGCACCTGAAGAAGAAAATATACAATATAAGCTCGAATTTAATTTCTTGTGTTTTTTCATTGGTTGAATTAGAACATGTTCTTGATATTTTCTGAGACTCAGCTGTTAATGTAGCAGCCAACACGAGTAGTCCAAATTTTCTTACATGTTAAAGGTGAAATTGATCATGGACATGTAAGTACCAGCTGCTAAAAATAACCACCAAATGGTAACTTAAATCAAGGAGCTATAAGCTCCCTGCTTTAATGTTTAAAATCCCCACCTCTTCATCCTGAGGGTCCACCATGGTCTCATCCAATACTCGCATGTTCTCTATGGTCTTTGGTACCTTCTTTGGTGGAGCCTGAAAAACATACACTTGATCAGAAAAGTCGAATACAGTCAGAACTACATACAAGTAACCACTTCTACATAAATACATGTCTCAGAAGAAAGCAATGGCTTACCTCCTCTCCTAAGGCCTCTGCCTCACGTTTCCTCTTCTTCTGTAGCTCCTTCTTTTCCTGAGGAAATATTATATTTAGAGTTTAACACACTGCCTGGACATGACTCTATAACCAAGGCCAAGGAGGATGAATGTAGATGTAGATGATAGTAGATGAGGGTCTGCATGCCCTTTTTCGTTAACCGTTATGGGCTATTTTAATTCACCGTTAATCGTTGCCGGCCTGCTCTAATTCAACGTTAAGCGTTATCGGTATATTCTTCGTGAAGCGTTATTGGTCCTTTTAATTCAACGTAAAACGTTATTTGTCATCCTAAATTCAGCGTTAAGCGTTAATGAATAATTCTTCGTTACGCCTAATTTTGCCTTTCAAAGTGCAGGAAAATGTGTCATTGAAGGTTTAAAAATACAAAATTTCCCGGGGGAGAATGCCCCCGGACCCCCCTACATTGCTCGCGCCTTTGGCGCTCGACTCGCGCTTCTGCGCTCGGTCCCTTCGGCTCCGAGCCAGAACCAGCTTTCCCGTCAATTTCCGGAAGTTTGCGGAGAGTTACATATTTTTTTAACGAATCCATCAACGTTAACCTTGACAGGCAAATTAACAAAATCTTGAGTAAAAACATGTAAACATCAGAAGGACCGACAAACACTCTCAACACCATGATTTGCCTCTCAAAATGCGGTAAATTGCGTTTTTGAAGGCTTAAAAATCCTAAATTGTCCCGGGGGAGCATCCCCCGGACCCCCTAGATTACGAGCGCCCTCTCAAAATCCTAAACTGAAAACATGCAAGCTGGCCGACGTCGACTCGGACTCACCTTTATTTGTGGACGCACTCGGGGACCTAGGGCAGGTGGGAAACACAGGGAACACATACCTTAAATGCATGCTTCATTACATGTAAGGTATACGTAATTTTGTCAGTGATCACCTTTCTCACAAAGCAAGATACTAAATCCAGTGCAGCTCGAAAAAAAAGCCTGTCAATTTACCGTTAAGCGTTGCCGACCCTCCTGAATTTACCGTTAAGCGTTATCGGCCCTGCTGAATTTTCCGTTAACCGTTGCCAGGACCCCCCCATGCAGACCCTCGTAGATAATATACAGGACCTCCTTGATTTGACACTGTAAGTTATTTTGCAAACAAAGTATAAATATCTAAGATGATGTACTGAAGAAAAAGCTGTCATGTTTTTCTGGTATATAAAATCAAGTGTCAGAAAACTGGGCAGTCACAAAACGACACGATATCCCGTCCCATATCTGCTTGAAGATGATAACTTCAACACATGTGGGCACATGTCACATGGTATGGCCTTACCTTCCTCTTCTGTCGCTTCAGTTTGATAAATTCCTGAGTCCTCCTCATCTTGTTCTTGATGCTAGAAATATTTGGAGGAGGAATTGAAGAAGACGGCGCCGCCATCGCGCTTTCTTTGTCAATATCCTGAGTTTCTTCCTGCACAGGCATTTTCTTTTTCTTCGGTGTCGCCATTTTTGGGAGGTTTAAAATAAACCATGAGGTTGAAGGGGCCCTTGCTTTTTAGTCATCATAAAATTCAAAGATAACAGTACAGAAATGACAACAAAAACTGTGAAATACAATTTACTTCCTTTTATCCCAAATTTTCAATGCATGTTATGAAACTTTTAGTCGTTTTAAACCTTTGTAACAATATTTTTTACCAACTATTCCCTACTTTGTGTAGTAGTATAGCCCAACCTTGTTCCCGCGAGACACCGTAAATTATCGCGAGGATTGGGAAATTGTCAAGACCCTCAAGCTGCGATACCATTTTAGTGATGAGTTTTTCCTTAAACGTACGTAACAAAAATATTAAGCAATTTCAAAAGATTCTATAGACATTTTACACTATTTATATATGTTTTATATACTTTCTCTGGTATAAATCATCAAGGCAAGCGTAAACAAATGATTTATTCGCTATTCACTCAAATCATCAGGCATATTTTGGTTCTCTTTAGACACTTGAACTTTGCCATCCCGTACAACCTACGGGGTCTTTCCAACATGGCGCCTGTCTTTGAAGGTGTGCAACTATGCTCCATCTCGGATAATTCCGGACAATTGCAGAGTTCCTCGCCGCAGATCGTCAAACTAGAGGTCAAACACGATGGCCAAGACTCGACCGTCGTCATATACACAGGTAGGTCCGGCTGTACGGTCGTACTTTTCCCGCGAACTCTCTCGAACTCTCTCGCCCAAACAAAGGCATGACAGCTAAGCACGATGCGCATGCTAACATAATCCCTTGAGTATTTCACACTAACCACAGTAAATAATTCCCACACATGAAACCTCTGCAAGCTGTCGACTTCCCCTATCGCAAAATCTTTCCAGTGGTTCAATTTAAAGCTTTAAAGTTTTTTCTGTGTTCTGTAATTTTGGCATCTGGCGTTGTCAAAAAAAGAGAAAGAAATGCCGACTTGTTAATAGCCCATGACAAAGGCTTTTAACTGTTGAGATGAAAATTTGTAGCCCAGAGAGGAGGACCACGTTCTTTTGTTTATGTTTCTGTCCGAAAAGAGAGTTATGTTGGAGTTCACACTGTCATAGTGGAGTGGGATGGGGGAAACACAAGAACTTAAATTCTTTTGCAGTTACATGCTAATGTCACACTATGATATAATTTTGTTGTGTATCTAAGAGATTTGTTGGAGCAAAAAACACTAATATATTTTATTATTAGAGAGGAAGCTTTGTATGATAGTATTTTATAAAGTGTCCCATTGTAAGCTGCTAAAAACAATTAAATTTCAAAATGTAACAGTTAAGACAACTGAATAGTGTTATACGTACTAGTAAAAAGTTTCATGATATTCTTGGTTAGAAATGATCTAGCTGTCCTTGCAATTGTTGGTGTGCCTCAGGGCAATATATTTGGTCCAGTGCTCATCCTTTTCTTTGTGTAAATACATGTACTTGTAAAAAAAATCCCAACTCTCCTAAGGTACAATGAATTCACAATCATATTTAAAGTCTACACATTTTAATACGAAAGCAGCTCACAACATTTCAATCCATCCATCTGCTGACACCATGGAATTCTGCCTGTCAACAACACCAGCATGTAAGCACAGCCACTGTCCCACTTTACTCTTGGGCTGCCAATTTCACAAGGACATCATATGTACTAAGGAATGTAGCCCAAGGTTTGCCATTACCAAAACAAAGTACAGTACTGTGTCCATGTACTCTTAATTCATTTCATTTCACAATTCTGTAGCAACGTGAAAAGACATCTGAGGTAGAAGGAATGTCACCCAAGGTTTGCCATTACTGAACGCTGAAACAAAGTAGTGTCCATGTACTGTTGATTCATTTCATTTCACGATTCTGTGGCAACCAGGCAATCAAAAGTTTGTGGTATCTTAGTAGGCGAAATCAAAAACTCTGTAAATATTTGAGTATTTACCATACAGTAGTGTATGGCCTTGGTGAGAACAGATTTTACATGCAAGCTACAAATATACGTGGGATTTTCACTTGGGAAAACAGGTGGGTTGGTTAGACACAGTTCACTGCATCCATTCATACGTGAAGTTCATATAATCTGTGAACACATGGGCCATGACGAATTACTATATTAGGTAAAAGACGAAACAAAACATTGCTGCCACAAATCAGTATAACATTACCATGTGATGAATCAGATAATCAATGTAAAGTCAACCCAAAACAAGGATATGGCAGAATAACCAGATATGAATCTGGTTTATAATTTTTGAAAGAGGAGGTCCTCATATCAAGAGCACCCTTGCTACATTAGAACACAAGGCAACACCAACTAAATTTTATGGAATCCAGACATCCTGTGTAGGCTACAAATCTAAAAGAGTGTACAAAAAAGCAGGCTGGGCAAAGAAGAGAAGATCATTACATTTTCAAAATAGAGACTAAAAACATTGTTATGAGTTAAAGTGACAAAACATGGCATGACAACCAATAAGACTTTTTAACCCTGTATTCAAGAAGTGCATAAGGTGACACTAATGTGATAGCCTTGTGTCACTACTATTACACTCAAGGCTAGTACCACAATGGTGTCACTTCTACAAGTACACTCAAGGCTACCACATGACATGTCACATTCATCATTTTCTTGTCACATTGACCACCACCGTACTAGGGAACCTTTTCTTCTTCAAGTCTGGCTGCTATCCATACAATCTACTTGTTCTAGCCAAACTAGATGAAATACAGTTGCTGCCTACTGATAAGAATGAACCACAGTTCAGTAATTTCATTACAGAGCACTTGCTGGAAGTACAGTAGACTGATTATATTGAAACTCTACCAGATTGTTTGGCAGCTCAAAGTATGTATATAAACGTAACACGCACTGAAGATAATGAAATCTGATGTTGAATGTAATTGTTAGACGAAGAATCTCAATTTTAAGAAACAAAAGAAAAATAAAAATTGTTACCTGGAATGAAAGATTTCATTTACACGTTCTCAGCTAAAAGTCTGCCCAATTGTTTGAAGTTGAAATTTTTTTCATCGAAATCTTTTGTTAATACATCTGTAAATACGTGAGTTTATTTTCATATTTGTAAAGTTTGTCTCCACTGTTTAAGAATGCCATAAGCATAGCCAGTGTTGTCTCAGCCCTCTTTACCACAACATGCATGCTTCATGGCAAATGGTGCAAGGCATCCTGTTTTTGGCCGAGCGCAACATATTTCCACTGGAACAGTCAACACTATCCCTTACCTTTTATCTATTGTAGCATGTTGTTTCCGGTATGTTTAAGTGTCAGGGGTGGGGATGTCAATGTCTTAAGGACTGGGAATATCAACACACCCAGTTGACATGTCTTTGTGTGTGGAAACAACATGCTGTCAGCTTAAGACACACACAAGTGTGGAAATGCCAGTGTTTGCTTCTATGAACTGGAGATACTGGAGTTGAAATATTTACAAACATACTCTGTCTTTGACATGACTAGTACATGTACTAGAAATAGACATGGCAGATAAAAGGTAAAGGTAGTACTTTTGACTTGAGGCAGTAGTGCCAGTGGGTTGTTAATCCACTCTGTCTAGGGCACAGTATTGGAAGTCGGAGCCCATCGCTCCTTCCACTGACTTTTACATTCCCAACTGAAGTCAGGTATCCATTTTACAAGTACCTTAGTGGAGTGAGGAAAGTCATGTAAAGTGCCTTTCCCAAGGACACAACATCTAAGAGGGCATCGAACCAGTTGCCTATCAATCTTGTGTCGGCTAGCCTAGCCACTTGGCCATGCAAAGTTCAAAAATTTTTTTTGATGTTTTTAAGTTCACAAGTTCATGATTTAATACCACAAATGTATGTTTCAGCCATGAACTCGGAGACACAGCAAACTCTTGATTTCACCGCGATGCACAATTTGGGCGCCGCAAACATTATATCATAATACAATTATGACATCATGTCTAGTCTCTGACATTCTTGTGTCACTGATATACATGACCCCTGCCCTACTTTCCAGACATCTTATTGTATTACATAATTTCTGAGACCACACGCATATACAATGTTGCCTAAAATATCACAGAAACACCCTACCATTCACCTTTAAAACAATATTTTCAACATATACATACATACAATGATTCTTCATCATGAAGTTCAATAATAAATTCAATTCTATAAAAATACATTGTCATTAGAGTCTGGTGACATACACATCTGTATCCTAACATTGAAAGCCTTGTATTAAAATTTTAGAAGCACATATGGAGCACAGAGCATCTTATATAGCTAGTGCCTAATGCTACAAAAGCTTATCCAATCTACTGCAGCTTATACTATAGTATTGGTGTTTGAAAGTGGGGCTAATTTCAAAGTCTATGCCATGTAATTTGATTAGTAAACCTAACTTGCATGGGAGAGGTATCTGTGGAAATGGAAATGTAATAAAGATGATGGAATATTAGTCATACGTTCCTCATCTGGGACCACTAGATATCAAACACACAGATAAGAACTTTATTGCTAGAAATCTACATTTTACACCTATATTTTGTAAGTGCAGCAATGAAATTATTATTGTTCCTTTAGGAATAGGAAAATTGAATGTAGAAAGATTTGTTACCAGAAAGGGAAAAAGACTCGGGACCAATTTCCAATGACTGTGACTTCTAAGAAATTACAATAGCTTTATTTTATATTTGCAACATGTACATTTCTGATCTAATTTTCCAACTTCATGTAATTTAAAGTAATGATCGCAGAAGATACATGAGCTAAGTGTACATGACGAATGTACTTATGGAAATAAAAAGGCAATCACAGCAAAACAGCTGGAAGCAGGATTAGGAGCAATTTGTACAATTAAGAAATTGTCAATCTGAGAACTATTAGATAATCCTATCTCTATAAACATTGGCTCGTCTGAAGTTGTAGTAAGAAAGCCTGGAGCAACGAACTAGAAACTGGTGCATTTTTTTTATGATGTCAGCTGTCTACAGGCTGTCACTATGCCATTCTTTTTTCTGGAAGATAAACATGCCTATGATGCCTTGCATGTAATGGAATTTTGAAATGCATAGCTGTCCTTCCCTAGAGCTTATAATTATATATGCTAGACAGCTGTCTAGAGAGTACAGAATCTGTATTAGAATGTCCTGGAGTTATAGAAATTGCTGGTAGCCAAGATCAGAGACTCCAAAATCAGACATATTTTAAAACTAAAAAAGCATATTATTACCATATATTATGAACATATCTTGTTTTCTTTTATTTATGAGTTATAGAACTTTACTATTTTTCTTCCCTAAATTTCGTTAATAGTTCTGCATGTCTTTGTTTTTTAAAAGAGGAAAAAAAATTATTTTCTGGTAAATTTCTTGCCCTGTGAGAGGCCCTGGTAAAGGGTGTCAGGTCGAGGGTCTAGTATGTGGTGACAAAGGTCAAAAATAGAGGTCAAAGCCCTGGGGCTAGAATGTATATTGTGGCAGAATGTATATTAATCAAACGTCACATGGTTATAGAGATCACAGAAGGCAGTGGGGAACAGCAGACAACTTTGAAGTCCCCAAAAGTCTTTGAAGGGTCCTTGAAAAATGGGGAGACCCGGGCTGGGGTCATCTTCTTGAAGCTCATGTATAATTCACAGACACTGGGTGGATCAAAAGATTTGGAAGTCAGGATATTACTCAGGTGGATTTGTGAAAGTTTGTGTTCATCAGTGACCTTAATCTAGCTTTAAGTCTGTAGTTCATGGTCAAAGTCAAAGAAAATTCTTTGACTTTGACTGTGCATTAGGACAGTGTTTAAGTGGTGACTTTGAGATAGGACTGACATGTCTCATGACCATTCTAGTCTAAAATTTAATGGTTTCCACTAGCTAGTGTTTTCAGGTATAGGTATGAGTGGCTAGCAGCAAAAAGGCTATGGGACTACCTTAACCTTTTTTAACAGGTAGTTCACATGTCTGGACCTGCACATGTACACACAATGTACCTACACAATAGTACAAGTACAGGTACATGTGTACAGTGTGTCAGTACACAGCCTCTGTACATGTAGAAGCTGGTTTGTTGATTCAGCACTCAAAACTGTTTTTCACCCGACAACACACATTTGTAAACGTCAGTGAAGTATGTAGACACCACAAACCCTGCTTCCTGGACACCAAGTTTGTTGTCGTAACACAACATCCGTTATCCCAGAATTTACAGTGTTTTTCTGCTGTCTAATTCAACTCCCAAACTTGCTTGAGGGTCTGAAACAAAACTTCTTGAGTTATTGTGCTAAACCACACACATACACACACATGTACATACACACATAGGTACATACGCCAAGGAAAACATTATAAATCTTCTTGGCAAAAGTAATAATTTCAAGTTGAACTTGAAGAGAAGAGTTTTGTTACATCAGCAACATACTATAACCTTGTACATGTACATGTACATGTCTGTCAACTTATAAGGATTGTTTAAAGCAGTATTGTTTGGGATGGGTTAGCTGTGTGTTTGTCCGGACAAACTCGGTTGACAGCACATGTGTTTGTAAGGAGAGATTGTCAGGCAGATGACAGAAAGTCAAATGGGGTGAACTTGAAGACCACTGAAACCCCAACAGAAGTCTAACATCTCTCAACTTCTTCTAATTGTGAACTTCCTTTGCCAGGCACCCAGGATGCCATGACGTTTTTGCTGGACGTGAACACGGAATGTAGCCGGGTGGGGCGGCAGTCGTTCATGCTCACATCACAGGAGAACAGCCTGCTACTGCGCTTCCCAACAACCGGGGGTGAGTCATTATGTACTGTAGTGGGTGGCTGCTGTAAGGGACAAACCATTGTAGGGAGGGAGGGATTGTTTGTTTGAACATTTGTAGCTTTTTAGTCTCTTTCTAGTCTATATTATAGATTTATCCTAGTATTCCTACAACTGGGGATAAGTCATTACATTGGATGTGGCTGCTGTAAGGGACAAACTGTTGTAGTGCAGGGAGGGTTTGTTTGAACATTTATAGCTTTTTTTGTTGTCAAGTTTTGTGATTTTGAAAAGTTTATTTTATCAACTTTCTTATGTAAATTTCATTATTGTCCCTATCAGATTCTCCCACCCAAAATGTAAACAAACAAGGTATTGACATATATGAAAAGAAAGTCTTTAACAATCTTGCTTGTTTTATCTTGTAGCTTTTTCAGAATTTTACGGCCATGTGGAGGATGCGAGGCATCAGACGAACACCAAGAAGAGACGGTCCATGTTCCAGATGCGGACAGACGAGGCCTCCGCTACCCAGTATTTCCAGGTAAGGGTTCTGCAGCATGATTAACTAAAGATTTTTTTATATAAGGCCACACCAATTTAATTTGTTGCTTCTCTGATTCGACTGCTTCATTTCTTGCTGACTTGAAAAAAAATAAATCATCAAGCTCAAAATGCTCATATTTTGGCCCCAACAGTTGAAGAAAGTCCTTGTCATGCAAGTTTCTAATTTTTTTTCTATTTATCAATGGAATGGTTTGATTAAAACCAACAAATGTTATTGGTGTGGCCTAAGATTTGTGAACCGATAAAGTATGTTGGCTATTGAATGCTGTTTGTTAACCCAGTATATGTTTGTTTTTTTGTTTTTTAACTTGCCTGTTAGTTGAATATTATTTATATCTTAATCGATGTAAGACTAATAGAAAGCTGACAACATTGCCATAGTGCTTCATCAATTTTTTTTAACAAAAGAAAAGTTTGGAGTTTTGCGGAGGTGGATTGAAGTGACACTAATTGTTTGCCGTTTGCTGTGCCTGGTTTTGTGTTTTTTCAGTTTTATGGATTTCTGTTTGAGCAACAAAACATGCTGAAGGTAAATTGAACGTTGATGTTGTTGTCAGGGGGGTGCCTGAGGGAACGCAGAAGGGTGCCTGAAATTTATGGTCTTGTCCTGAAACTTCTGGTCTTTCAAATAGCCATTTTGTTGAGGATCAAGAATCGGCAAAGTTTTAAACATCATTTATAAGCACAATTAAAATCGGTACTGAAAATGTAAAGCAAACACTATTGTAACAGTTGATATCAAATGATAATTATATTGTATTCAGCAACCGTGAAAAAAATGAGGAAAGATTTTCATAAATTCACTGTGTTGTTTCAAATAATTTTGCCCACAAACAACAAAGAAGTTTGCCTTGAATTTGGTGATATCTCTTGTTTTTTTTTACGAAGAAAAAAATTCCAAGTGTTTTTCAAAAAGCAGGACCAGTTGTAAGAATGGCTTACCCTTCCAAGTGCCTCCTGGGTGCCCCCCTCCCCATGTCTGACCTTATACTGAGCTCTATCTGTCCCCTTCTGTGCAGTTCTATAGCTACCTGTCCCAACAACAAAACATGTTACAGGTAGGACTGCCTACACTGCTACGTCTGGTATAGTACTAGGTCTTAGTGGTGGGTACCAGTTTGGCTTGATCAAGTCCAGACGACGAGTCCAAAAAATTAGTTCCACTCTGTTTTTCGTTCTTGGCAATTGGATGTTACTAGTATTCTGAGCTGGACCATATTTAACTGAACTGGTACCCACCCTTTTACATTGTAGGTGTACTGTACTAGAGCTGCACTGAATTATATCAGTATTACCTACATTCTGATTTCAAACATAATGTAGAATTGAAGTATGTTATCACTATGATTCAGTATGAATGCACTAAACCTTGCATGAAATTTGTTGACCACTCTGATTAAATAGAATTTTGCCATAACCTTTTATTTCTTTCTGATTGTAAATTGTAGATCCTTTACAGCATAGCTGTATGTTTGAATGTAGATTAAAGTGCATTGTTCCTATATAGTTTCAATATATCTTTAGCCTGCTAGTAGTCTTGTAATGGTTTTAAACTGCATGTATTATTGCTAATTGGTAATGAGACTTGTACAAAATGTAGATGTAAAGTGTACTCTACTTTTGTGATTTGAAAGTTTTTGATTTTCTAATGTTGCCCTCCCTAACCAGGACTATGTCAGAACAGCTACCTATCAGAGGGCAATGCTACAAAACATGGAAGACTTCAGAGGCAAGGTAAGAAGACAGTATTTTACTGTGTTTTACTGTTATTTGTAATAAAGACCACGATACTGATTTGATAATATGGAGGATCTCCTTCAGACATCCCAAAACTGTCACAATTTTCTTAGTGTTGGACAAAAGTTTAGCCTTTCCATATGTTATCTGGTTGATGATGAAAAGCATGGCTTATACAATGGGAGGACTTGCCTGACTGGTGTAGTTCAAAACCCCAATTGAGTCAAACTTTTGTGCACCTGAAACCAACTATAGACTGCCGACAATGCAGTAACCCCGTGAGTTGATAGGTGGCACTCATGCACTATGTGAAACTGAAGGGTTGTTGTTTTACTACAGGTGGTTATGGATGTGGGGGCGGGATCAGGGATTTTGTCGTTCTTTGCGGTCCAGGCCGGAGCAGCGAAAGTGTACGCTGTGGAAGCAAGCAGCATGGCGGAACACGCAGAGGTTGGAACTTCATTTCAATCCTTGTGTTTTTAGAAGACATTGTTGCAAAGTGGATCTCCTTTTTGAATAGAGAAAGCCTTAAATAAAATATGTAAAGCTCTTTGCAAATTCTAAAATGCACATATACAGCTCAAACCAAAGATTTTGATATATCGTGTTTTGAATATTTAGTATAATTTCACATTTATGAGGATTTTAATGAAAGCATTCCCAGGAATTCCTGAAAAACAGGGTTTTGCCCTGAGTGTGTATCTCTTGGTAAAGAATATAAAAAAAAATGAAGGAGAACATTGCTCTTCACCAACCACAGACGCTGATCAGGGCTGAATGGTCTGAGCGGGAAGGTGCATATGCGACTTGTCTAGAAGACCACCTTTCCTCTGTCCCCTGGGTGGTCGTCTTAGACAGGTTTGACTGCATAGCTTTAAACTCATTGGTGGGTAACATTGTTGTTTTTAACCAACCCCAGACGCTGATCAGGGCGAACGGTCTGAGTGGGAAGGTGCAGATGATCCGTGGGAAGGTTGAGGAGGTGACTGTGCCTGAGCAGGTGGACGTGATCATCTCGGAGTCGATGGGGTACATGCTGCTGAACGAGCGCATGTTGGAGAGCTTCCTGCACGCCAAGAAGTGGCTCAAACCTGGAGGTGAGAAGAACTAGTACCTAATCTCCAAGCAGATATTTCGGTGGCTGCAGAAGACAGTATCAAACTGGGCAGGCAGTATCCATTAGCCAGACAGTATCCATTGGCCACCTGATGGCTAATGGCCAATGGATACTGCCTTGCCACTGTATGATCTACTTTGAGATTACTAGTACCAGGACTCGAAATACTGGGTGTGTATGTACCTTAGTGCAGGTAAAATTGGAGCTGTGCAGGTATTTCTGATGTCTCCCTGCACTGGTCCTTGTATAGGTTTATATATGTTAATTTTTATTTTCTACGAACATTGTACAAAAATCACTCACTCACTCACTATCCAGTTTTATCAGTTTCAAAGAACATAGATAATTATGCTTTAACAGTGAGAGCTTGTCTGGTTGATGATGATAAGCATGGCAGGGTTCTCCCCAGACGATGGAACAAGGGCGCTGCGCCCTGATACTCCTAGCTCAGCGCCCTCATACTCATTTTCAAATCTAGGGTGTTGCATCCCGATTTTTCTACAAAATTTCGCTAAAATTCGATAAAATTTCCTGATTTCGGGGCTTAGTGGCGTCTATTTTCCCGCCGGCATTGTCTCTGAAAACTTGTGAATGGGGCGATAATCGAGTAAACAAATGAGTATTTCGCACGACGCTACTGAGAGAATCGCTGTCATTGGTGGAACATCGGGCGCCCCGCTAGCGTTTTGAAGTCGTGTAAACAAAGCTAATTGTCTGATTTCTTTGTAAACCAAAGCCCTCGACCCTGATAATAAGTTTAAAAATAAAAGCCGATACGTTTACGAACTTATAAACCGTAGAAAATTCCCTACCGTACCGCGACATTATGAAGCATGTGGCGGCCGCGAAATTCGTTGACGCGACAGAAAATGTCTGGTTCATGATAGCGGTATTTCCCATGAAAATAACGTATACGATTTATTTTTCCCCTGCTGTCGGTTTTTAAGTCCCGAAACGTTAAAAAAAAAAGCTGAATTTTGCCCACAAACCCGGACAGGGGACGGCCTGTACCTATCGGCGTAGCACATGGCGGCCGCACCGCAAGGCTTATGCCAAAAATCGGCAACGCGACAAAAAAATGCATGGTCCATTTTAGCGATATTTACCATAAAAATAACGTATGTGGTTTATTTCTCCCATGGTATGAGTTTTAAGGTCTCAAAACCTCTAAAAAAGCAGAAATTTGCCGACGAAAACGGACGGGCAAGGCATGGGGAGGGCGCTGTTGAGTTGACGCCTGCATGACCCCCAAAAGGTCGAAGGTCATAGGGCACGTCCATTGCGCAATCACCTTAATTCGCCGATTTAGGTAATTTTAGGGCGTTTGAAAATTGATACAATCACATTATCGACTTGTAGACAAGCAAAGGGATAGAAACCAATAAAATGTTGTGCAGATTAATATTTTTTCTTCAGATTTCTTTTTTTTTCTTCTTTTTTTTTTAAATTCAAAAGTATTTTCTTGAATGTGTAACTTTGTTAGTCCTAAACATGGGACCGATTATTTAATGTTAGAGAAGTGAAATTTTGTTTTGATGGTACTCTTGATGGTACTTTGATAATTATAAGGGACTTGTTTACAAGTTGGTGATAACATAAGGATTAGCATTAGGATAAGGTTTTGTCCCAGCTTCTCTACATTTTCCCATAATTGCTTGCCTCAAGTTCCAAGTGGAAAATGTATGACTTAATGTCATATTCTGTTTCAATTGTCGAACTTGAAGGCACCGTTGGCCCCCGGTTAGGGGTCAGAGCGTGGAACCTATGCCCAATTTTTTCCTGTATGTTAACATTTTTTTCTGGCAGTTCAAAACCTGAAGTTGCAGGAAATGGCTTCCATTTGTATTTAGATAAAGACAAATGCTTCAGCTTCCCCCCTCTGGAGGGGGGCCGATGCCTCTCAAATCCTGGGGAGAACCCGCTGCTATAGTGAAGACTGTTCTAGTAGTAGTGTATACAAGTGCTGCACTGCTTGGTGCAGAACTACAAATAAAGGAGATGTATCCTCTTGTGACTTCTATAAGATGCTGTTACCTATCTTGTTATAATGTTACACATTTACCGGCAAATAAATGCATAATGACAACCACATACAAATTGAGTTTCCAATTATAGTAATAAGCTAGAAGAGTCCCAACACCTTGATCTTGAAGTTAAATCATGGTTAAATGTGCCATTTCTTTTCTTTCAACTTGGTGTTGGAGTCTCTTAAGCTATTATGTGTAAGTTGTATATTTAGGAAAGACAGAAGGCTGAAATTGCAGGAAATGGCCTCCATTTCATTTATAACAGTCAAAATGCTATAGCTTCCTCCTCCCGGAGGGGGGGGGGGAAACCCCCCCTCCGGACCACCCCCCCGGCGACGCGCGTTGCGCGTCGCTTAGTGTGTGCTCGGTAAGTCTCCTCCCTCATACTTAAATTTTCTGGGGAGAACCCTGCATGGCTTATACAATGGGAGTTCAAAACCCAAATGAGTCAACTTTTGTGCACCTGAAACCAGCAGATTCATTGACATAAAATTTTTGTACCTCTTCAGTGCAGGACTAAGTAGTATAAAGCGAGCCTTGTATGTCACATTTTCAGGGAGGATGTTTCCTTCCCGTGGAGACCTGCACATCACCCCGTTCATGGATGAACAGCTGTACATGGAACAGTTTAACAAGGCCAACTTCTGGTACCAGGAGTCGTTTCACGGCGTCAACCTGTCCGTCCTCCGAGACGCAGCAGTCAACGAGTACTTCAGACAACCTGTTGTAGTAAGCACTGAACTTTATTATGTTTAGGGTATAGGGGTTTTCCTTTACACATCCACTATTGTCTCACCTTGCTTACATTTCGTTGTCTATAAGACACCTTCCTCTCCTGGCTTCTGGCTGGAGTTCTGCTTCTCACTGCTGTATACAATAGTGGTTGTGTAACCCCCCCCCCCATATCCTATACTTTACCTACCTGATGAAACTATTTTTGTATTTATTATGTTTACTCCTTCAGAAGGAAAACCTTTTGTTTTGCTCCATTGTTTTCTCTTCTTCAGTACCGAACAAATAAGGTCAATGGCCTGGACCAGATTCCTGTCATGTCAATAGTTTTATTACCTGCCTTGTTTGTAATGCTTTTTGGTCTCTTTGAACAGGACACATTTGACATCAGAATCTGCATGGCAAAGACAGAGAAGTACACTGTGGACTTTCAGACAGCTGATGAGACTGACTTACACAGGTGAGTGATGTCTGTATGGGTGAAAATCAGTGTTCTAGGGGATTTCAGGTTCTAAGTTTTCGGTAGAAGCAATACTGTAGCACAAAACCATATGTTCATGGTGCCATGGGGAAGAGGCACTGTGAACCTGGGAGTATTTTGAGATTTACAGTTTGTATGATGTGCATGTTTCAGAATCAACGTTTATGTTTCAGAATCGAGATTCCGCTGAGATATGAGATGCTGGCCTCAGGCTCCATCCATGGTCTGGCCTTCTGGTTTGACTGTGCATTTATAGGAACAAGGTGAGTTAGAGTAGTTGTAGGTCAGTTAGGCTGGTAATGATTGGGGCCACGAACTAATGACTTAATATTTGTAAGAATATTCTATCATCCATCCAGAAGAAATATGCTACGTGTGTGTAAATGTATCTATGTGAAAAACAACTGAATGTTTAATTTGTTTCTTTTGTTGTACAAGTGAATTGTATGTTTGTGTTCCAGTGAGACAATATGGCTGTCCACTGCCCCCACAGAGCCACTTACCCACTGGTATCAGGTAAGTCAGGACATAAATTTCGGGCTATTCCATTTTACAAACTTAGGGCTGGCACCTTCCAGAGATCATGAGTTTTTGAATGGGTGACACTGTACTCAATCAACTTCTACTAGTTCTAGCGTTATTTTAAAAATCCAGATAGTTGTATTAAAAGCTGAATGTTTTTACATAGAGATTCTTATGTGTAAAGTTTGTAGCTAAGTATTGCCAGTTAATCTAGCAACTGAATATGATGTTGGATATCATATCCAGTTGCTTGTCAATAAGTAACTGTTTTGGGCATGTCTTATATCCTGGATGTCTAACCTTCACTGACGGAGCTAGGTATTGAGTCAGCAGTTATGGTTGTTGTTTTTCTCAGGTGCGTTGCCTGCTGCGATCACCACTCTTCGTGAAAGTGGGCCAAGTCGTCTCCGGTGTTGCCACCTTGGTCGCCAACAAAAGGTAAAGTTTCAACCACATATTTTTAAAACATCAGGACACAGTTTCATCCACACTTTCTTTCAGTATTAAAACATCTCTTTGCGACTTGGCCATTTTGATATTCTGAAGTTTTGTCTCCCTTCTTGAACCCTTTTCAGCTACTGATTCTATAGTGTTTCAAACTCTGCAATTGTGTGGGTCTGCTGCTTTACAGTGAAAAACAGTGTTCTTTTGGATCAAGAATCCTTAAGAATGTTTTTACTTGGGTTGCAAACTGATGACGTTTTTTGACACTTCAGGTGCGAAGGCATTTTAAAGTTTTGGTATTGTGTATTGAAGGCAGAACTTGGGTAACAATTTATCACAATTCATTTCAGTCTCGTTTGCCTGAACAAGAAATCAACGTTCTCATACCTCAGTGAAATATTTAGTGAATTTCTTGCTGATTCTGTCTGCATTTTCCCACTTGCTCCCATAAGGCAACAGACATGCATATAGCAGAAAATTGAAGACAGCAAATGAGATGACCTTTTCTGCAACCATTCTGGGACCTTTGACCTAGCTTCCTTTCAGTTTCCCCAAAGTGCATATCATGTGGAAAGTATCTTAGGAAACACAAGCAAACACACAAACAGACACACTGGAAACACAACCTCTCAAAACTAATAAAGTTGGTGTTATCCACATATTTATGTACAGGCCAGCATCAGACACTTGGTGATATGTCAGAACTTCTGACGTTTCCTTCCACCATTTTGTTGTTGCCACAGACAAAGCTATGAAATCATGATTGGGCTAGAAGTAGACGCCACGGGACAATCATCGCACAACAAACTTGACCTGAAAAATCCCTATGTTCAATTTTACTAAGAAGGACGGCCTCCCCCCACTACTAGTGGCAGCACCACCCGCTACCACACTACTGCGTACCACCGCCACCGCACTTTTGTGTGCCACGTGCCAAACCAGTCACCAGGGGACAGAAAAATAACCTGCTGTGTTTTGATATTAAACCATGTGTGTTGTCAGGGTTTCCGCCAGACTCAAGTGTTCATTGTAGATTGGAGTGGCAAAATTCTAGGGGGATTGGAGGCATGCTCCCCTTGAGCCCCAAGTTTTCTTATGTTTGAAAATGCTACTTCCCACATTTTGTGAAGCAATTTGCAACTCCAAACCTATAGAAATAAACACTGTGTAGAATGTTACACAATTTGGGCACTTTTTAAAGTTTATTAGAATTTGTAGAAGAAAAACGGGAATGCCAAAACGTCAGTCTGGCGGGAACGCTGTCTACTATTCCAGGCAAACTACGGAGAAAGGCAGGCTGTTACAGAATTTCACAAAGTTTGAAGAGTTTTCAAACTCTCTACAGAAAGGAACTGAGCTCCCAACATTAAAACATGGATCTTTTTCTAACCGATCAGTTTTCAAAATTCTCTTTCAGAACATGCTTCTTGGGGCAAGTGTGATTTTACCATAAAGTTTGTATGGAAAATAATAAGAGCAAAAATCTTGAGATTTGTCCCGAAATTCACTTTTATGATTACTGCCAGTACTTATTGTTTGTGTGTATGGTACATATACCAGGACAAAGCTGCTATAAGTGTATATAAAGCTTCAAGCACAAAAAAAAGGAATCTGCAACAGCCCAAGTTCTGCCTTTGTACCATGCCTTGTATGTGTCAATATTATGTTTTACTATTTTATTTATTAACATTATTAAACAAGAGACAATACCAATAAAAAGGATTCTGTGGATTTTTGTGTGCATCTGTCTTCTTTCAGACAAAGCTATGAGATCATGATTGAACTAGAGATAGAAGGAACGGGCATGTCGTCCAGAAACACGCTCGATCTCAAAAACCCGTTCTTCCGGTACACGGGAGTGACGCCCGCGGCTCCCCCAGGCAGCCACACCGGTACTTCATCCCCGTCGGACAGCTACTGGCAGTCGCTGACGCTCTCGACGAATGTGGGGAACTCCACGCAGGTTGTCCCTAGCAACCACGTGGTCGCCATCAACGGGTACGACGGCAACGCGGCCAACATCATGCAGTCTAACCTCATTCCACTCGGTAAGGATGGCAGCTAGTTGTTTCTTTCAATTTCACACATATTGGCAGGAAAAGACAATGCTTTCCAGACCTAGCGAAAGTTTCTTACAGTAGTGATGTCTGTATGAAATTTACAAAGCAGTACATTTGAATAAGGTCAATGGCCTGGACCAGATGGCTGTCATCATGGTGACTGGTGCTGTAACAGACACCCTGTGGTTTTGGAGCATTCATTGTATTATGTAGCAAGTGGTGGGACAGAGTTATAAGGGCTGGTTGCCATAAACATGTATATGTCTCATAATGAATCTTTTTGAACAAGAGCAGTAATTTCTTAGATCGTGTGAAGGTAAACATTATCATGTATTTGATTTGCAGATGTTACCTTTCTAGTATTGATAATGCTTAACCTTCTTAACCTTAATTCTTCTCCGTCCCCAGCCAACACTGCGTGCATCTCCCACCCGACGACAGTAGCAGGGGGCACCACGGTGAGGCAGGTGGGCGGGGTCAGCACCATGCCCACTCCCTGCTCCATCGGGGGCGGCATCTCCCCAGCAGCCTTCTCCAACCAGACCACCAACGCCAACAACATGAACTACGGCGGGGCCGCGGGCGGGGGAGGGCAGTACGGCGGTGGCGCCGCGGGCTTCGGGCAGGGCGCCATGATGCAGATGCAGGGCGGGGTCATGTTGCCAGGGCAACAAGTGGACGGACTGAACCATTAACCTCAGCTTGCGGGTAGTTTGTATTGCACGATCTCATGATCACTCCCCAGAGGACTGCATTTCACTGTTATCCAACCTTTTACTGCAAGGATTATATCAGTTTCAAACTCATGTCATTAGAACATAACTGCACCTGAGCATGTTGGCAGAAAGTACTGCGCCTGTGTGAACCTGTATTGTGCATAACAGTTATACTCACTACAAGAACATTTCTTTAAGGTTGAATTTCCATATTTAAGGTTGACAATTGACACCCTGTGTATAGTTTTTAAATGTTGTGTTGGAAAAGGTACTGCCGACAATGGGCAAAACTCTGATGCAACATTGACCAAACATGTAACGAAAACTGTGAAAAAAAATACAGGTTTCACACAGGCACAGAATGTTCTGCCGTCACTCTCGTTACTAGAACCTTGTGTGTATCTAGACTCTTTGATCTAATCTCCAAGCAGATGTTGGGGGAGAAGATTTTTTGACTGTTGGGTTTCTCTGAGAGTTGAAGGCCTGTCAGAGAAACCAGGCAGTCAAGAAAGGTATACTGCATCTGCTTGGAGATTTTTACCCAATGCTAACCTAAGGGGAGTGGATCAGTCTTGCATTGTCCCATATGCATTATCACTTATGACGGGTAATAAGGATATGCGTTAGTGCTAGGTACATGTACACAATGTGGGAATATCAATGAACTCCAAGCAGAATGTATACTAACTCTTTCAAAAATGATCACTTCAAAGAGACGACAGAAACAATTCCTGTCCCCCAAATCATTGGCAAGAGCACATAGCATGTAAAGAGGAGCAGTAAGGTCTAAGAGAAATTAGCAGAAAACTACTTGATCACTATTGAGGTTGTCTCACATCTTTAGAACAGGAAACTGATGTGTTTGGGGAAAGCCAAGGGGCTTAAAACTAGGATTTGGATGGGTAAGAAATAAGGACTTGGGTGTAAGGGTACAAAATTGTTAGAGAAAAAGTGTAGATATTTTACAAACATGACAAGTCAAACATCGAGCACTTTTCCAGCCCTACATACATGTATACGTAGTTGCCTGAAGTGATATTTTGCTAATGTGCCATTTCCTAGGGTTGCTGATGCTTTGCTCTACTTTCGTGCACCTTTTTGCAAAATATCCAACTGCTTTGTGGATGCGACCGTAAAATGCTGTTTCTTACTTGTAACATTTCTTGTAAATTTGTTAAGCTTTAATAAGGGGTAGGGATAATGTTAGTTCAGGTTATTGTAGAGCACAATTTATGAACTTCAGTTCCTGATTTTGGGACTCAAACTGTTAGTCCACTATTTATTTGTGCTAGTACCATTAACAATGGTAAGTAGGAACTTAGCTTAGCCATTGTTTGGGGTATTAATGTTATAGCTGTAAAGGGAGGCTAGGGAAATGGATTTCAGGTAACATGACCTGCGAGTAAATGTATTTTTCAGGGGGGAAGGGGGGTATCTGGATAGAAAACACTGGTTACATTGCAAAAAAAGGCCAGTTTGTACAGCAACTGTAAAAATAAACTGAGACTTTAGGGGGCAAATTTAAACAAGTTTGAAGTTTGATTTACAAAACATGTAAACCTCTGAAAACTCTATAATTCTAAATGGATTATGATTTCAAAATTCAGCCTTTACAGATATTACAGGTAGCTCTTCCCAGATACTACAGATAGAAATGTTGCAGTTTTGACTGGGATTTCTGTTTTCAAGTGGTAATATTATGTTCTAATTAACTTTGAAGTGTGTTCAAAACAGCTTTCTTTTCAAACTAATAATCCAGCACAAGAAAACTACGGAAACTCAGCCCTGTAAAAATATAGATTCTTCTGATGCAGCTTTTCATGTGCACATGTATGGTAGAAAGGGGCAGCATATTACCAGTAATAGAGCATTCCTAGTTCTGTTTGCTCCTCAGCGATACAATGATGCATTCTGGTGATCCTGCTTTCATTTTATGCAACTAGAAGCAGAAAAACATGTATCATTGAGCTATGGTTACTGTGTAATCTGCAAGACTTGCCAGCGGTCAGTATAACTTGACCACGGAGTTATATCTTTGTACTACGTAAAATTAATTAGCCAACTGTGCATGTGAACTATATGTCTGGCCATTGCAGAAATGATATTTTGACTCCCGTGTGTGTGTGTGTGTGTGTGAAGACTTCCTGTTTTCCACATACACTGCATTAAACATGGCCATGTTTTCTTTCTTCCAACCCTTCTTTTAACATGTAAACATTAGCGTTTAGAAGTGTTCATGCACAACTTGGAAGGACACAATGAAATAAAGGGTATGTCATTTTGTACTGCTGTTTTGTTTCGTGTTTTACTGTCAAAGAGAATAAGGCAATTCATAGGCCAAATCAACATAATGTTTTTAACATAATGTAAGGTACAGACTTACCCCTCAGACTGTTTTCATGTTTATCTTACAGATTAGCAATAATAAGCAAGTGAAAGATCCTAAATGTGTATGTACAGCATTGTGGGTACTATGCCTGTCAAATGCATCTGGATACGTAATACCGATAACTTGGATAAGAATGGTCTACACAAGAACTTACAAGTTGGGCCTTTATCTTTGACCTTGTGCCTGCACAGTTTGGAATCCTGAACCCATGTACATCTCACAAGAAATCGCTTTACACACAATGCATACAAATACAAGACAGTTTATTCCTCCACACGTACACTTCTGTCAAAGTTCTCCCTGTCTATGGCGAAGTGCCTGAGCATGTCTATCTCCAGCGGATGCATGTGTCCAGGGATGACCAGAGAGTGGAGCGGTCCGCCCATGTCCAGCTCAGTCAGCTGTGTCAGCGTGCCGGCTACGATCTGTTGTGTGTCCGTCCCAACTCTTGCCAAACCAACACAGACGGTGTCTTCCTCAATGGCTAGAGAACAGGATTAGAAATAGATTCAGTTTACAGAGGATATAGGCTAAATACTAGACATTCAGTCAACAACATTTACAAATGTAGTACCTGGTAGTAACTTTTACAGTCTGAAGCAACAACTCAGGCACTTGGAAAAAATGGTTACAGTGATCACAGTGGACAGGCAGTCACTAGCTCAGGTTTGACTATAATGCTGCTACTGGTATGTAGACTTGAATCAACATTTAAGAAATGAGCTTTCTCAGGGTCATCCTAAGCACTCAGTCATGTACTGTCATATACATACATGTAGGTCATACCTTTCACCTTCAACATCAGATCTATTTCTTAGTGTTCCCTTGCAGAACAAGAAGTAAAAATGGAGCTCACCAAGTTTTTCTGCTCCTTGCTCTCTTTTCTTCTGCACAATTTCCAGGAACTGTTGGGCTGCTTGCTTCACCATCATGTAACGCGGGGGCTCGTAGATTTTCCTTCCCCTAGGAAACAAGATTATCGATGCAAGTGACCGGGGTTTTTGTAGCAATTAGAGTGATATAGCAGGGTCTGTCCCTAGGCATTGTCAAAAGTGTCAAGGCGCTTATACATGACAAACAGTCAAAGTACAGGAAAATCTAGTACTTACTTCATCAGATTTTCTATAGACTGCTCTTTCACTTTGATATCTGAAAAATAGAGGAAAAAATCTGACATCAGACAAAGATACTATCTAAAATGTAATGGTTCGTCTTTGAAATCATTTGTAGTGTAGTTTGTAATTGATACCTAATGCTGGTGTACTTCAAACTGGCAAAGAAACAGTGTACTTCAGCAAAACCAAAGGTTCCTATTACCTAACAAACAAAGTGTGTGCCATCCCTTCTCCCTGTTGGCTGCTATCTTGTCATAGTAGCTGTCAGGTTTCCAGTCGTCTGTCCAGAACACCACAGACACAGTCTCACCAAAGTTATACAACTGTGGGAGGAAGAAGATCATATCTTAACAATATCTTAGCATGTTAAAGATTCAAATCCAACTTGGGTGGGGAAATGGTAACAGACTGGCCAATTTGATACTGTCTTACCCCCACCAAAAGCTCTGCTTGGAGATTAAAAGATTCCCCTGCTCTTGCCAGGCATCAAAAAGAGTGGGGTTCCTTCCTGATGTGAGTGGATCAAACCTTACAGTGTGGTCTTACACAGCTTGCACTTACTGTACAAACCTTGTGTGTTACACCTAAACACAGTTAAGTTACAATGGCCACACCTGGAGTCCACAGCAGCCAACAGCATTCATGATGGAGGCATTGTGGATGACCTTATATGGAATGTCCAGTTCTATTGCACGCAGCACGAGGTCACTGTGGGTCGTGGCACTACACAGAAAGGGGGGAAATAAGATTGTGATATACAACTGAATTACATTGATTTTACAACCTCTACATTTAAGTTTTGTTGCAAGAAATGTATAATGAACAATGCTACCACATCAATGTACTAGTATGATAAATTTTGTAAATGCTGCTTCCTATACATTGAAGTAGGAGTTGGCAAAACGACCTGTAACAGATAAGTGAAAGTCTATCCTTACCCAAAGGGGTCTCCAACCACTAGGAAGGCGATATCTTCCTCCTTGGCATCTTTAAAAATTGCATCTGTACAAAAAAACGTTCAAAGGTTTTGTTTGCATATGTTATCAAAAATCCAAGTGACTTATGAAAGAAAGCAGATACTAGTAGTCCAAGGGATTTGTGACCCTCCTTATAAACTTAATAGTCAGTCATAATATAAAGGACACAAATGTATATGTATTATATAATGACCATTGCTTTTTGTTGAAAATTTGTCAAACAGACAGGAACTTTACCTGATTCTTGTTCCACCATGTCTCTGTCAGCAAGAATAACTTCTCTGCCGTAAAATTCCTCCTAAGGAAATTAACATTTCACTGTTAGCCATTCACAGGAGGAAAAACGTAAGATTGTGAAATGATAGGGAAAACTGCTCATTTCTTGGCACCAACAGTTCAAGAAAGTCCTTGTCTTCATTCTTGAATACAGTTCAAAATTCATCGTTTGCGATTACGATGTAACGTTATAACTAGCCTAGTATGTTGAATTTGTGCCTCCTGTGGAAGCATTTAGAGCACAGGAATTTTAGGTCTGTTTTATTTTTCCCACCAGCTTCATTGGTTTCCTTCAAAAATCTGAGAACCAACAAATCAAATTGGTATGGCCTTCAAATAGGAAATAGGAAGTCTGCTGGAAGCGCCCCCCTCCCCCACCAGCACTCACCAAAGCGTCCTTCCCACACGTGAGAATGGACGTGTAAGCCTCTAGAAACACTCGCTTCGACCTTCTCACAACCTCCAGACCCTTCACAGTGATGTCCTTCGCATCGCCAAGCCCGAGACCCACAAGATACAACATTTTTCGGCAAAAATGTGTTTCCGGATTCTGTTCACATGTGTCAGACGACAAAATTACGGGTCAAAGGTGAATAGCTAGCGACAGCAGTACATTTTTTGTGCCACAATAATTTGTATAAAATTTATACATTTTGCGCTTTTTTGGGATTATGTTTTATTAAATTATTAGAATTATTAAATCATCTTAATTATTATCTTACGTTTTGGGGCAGTATTATAAATAAAAGAGAATTTTGGTTGCAATTATCGAGAAAAATAAATCAGGCAATGGTATGTCTGCAGTGGCCAGCTTATTCCTATCTCAAGGAAAAATGGCTGCCAAAGTTTCGACTGAATGTGTTGTCCTGTCAAACGGAGTTAAAATGCCGATTCTCGGACTCGGTAAGTGTGTTTTGAAGGTCTTTTCGGATAACATATGTGTAGAGGGCTTACCACAGTGCTTTAACAGTGCACAGTAGGTTTGGGTAAGGTAGAAAACTGCTAAGGAAGGCAGGCTATTATGACAACTAGTAGTACCACTATTTCCGGTCCCCTGGGGAGAACCCAATGCAAATACTAGAAATACAAAAGGTTTAGTAATAGCAGGGAGGTTCCAAAACCTCCTTGGTAATAGTAGATAGAAAACTCACTCTGAACTTGAAGCAGGATTTAATTGTAATTTTCCACATCGAAAAACTAGTAAAGTGCACTGTCAAAAAGTTTCATTTTCAGAAAATGATTTTGCATGCCTATGATTTACTTTATAAATCATATTGGAGCATGGAGGTAGAAGAGAGCTCTTTTTTCTACCTCCATGATTGGAGCAAGGAGGGTATAGGAGGGCTACCATCATGATTGGAGCATTTACATTCCTTCAAATACTTGAATTCTGAAAATGAAAGCCAGAGAAATCTTTCCCTTGCAGGTACATCCCACCACGGAGGGTTTTCACAGTCGGCTGTCGTCTACGCGCTCAGGGATTGCGGGATCCGTCTCATTGACACAGCAAAGCGGTATGGCTGTGAGGAACAGCTCGGAACAGCCATCAGACAGAGCGGGGTCCCCAGGGAACAGATCTTTGTCACCACCAAACTGTGGCCGCTGGACTACGGGTATGAGTCCACGAAAACTGCATTCAAGGAGTCTTGTAAGAGGCTCGGTGTGGATTATGTTGGTAAGAAGGCTTTTCTTTTGCCGAGTTTCAACTTTCAACCCTTTTAATCTGTATCTGTATCTGTATAGCCTGTATAACCGCCTTTCAGCGTAACACAGTGCAGCTTCGACCAGCTTAATGTCTGCTGAGATACATGCATGTATCTGCATCTGCACCCTTCAACGTAACACGCCAGCTTTGCAAGCATGCGGCATTGCAGCAGTTTGCAATCATTGCAGCAGCTTTGCAATCATTGCAGCAGCTTTGCAATCATTGCAGCAGCAGTTTGCAATCATTGCAGCAGCTTTTCAATCATTGCAGCAGCATAACTTGCAATCATTGCAGCAGCTTTGCAATCATTGCAGCAGCATTTCAATCAGAATAGCATTGGGCCCAGAATACTCCCTTGCGGCACCCCCATATGCATGTGACACAGGTTAGCATAGAACATTTATTGTGTATATTTATCCATTGATGTAATGATTTTGAATCCAGTTCTTCAACAATGGTAGAATGAGACATCTAATACAAAAATCAAATCCAATTTTCTTGACATTCATAGACCTTTATTTGATACACTGGCCTGACTGCCCTCGAGGAAAGGGACAAGACAACAGGACCATCCGCGCTGAGACATGGAGGGCACTGGAGGACTTGCACAGTAAAGGTAGGACACTGCAGTTCAGTTAGATGTTGAAAGGGGACGTTGCTGTACAGCTATACATGTACACTACCACCCTACAATGGTATAAAGGCATAAAACAATGTTGAACATAATGTAGCTACACATGTATATATATGTGGAATAATGGTTGGATCTTTAATATTGCTAAAATGCCTACAATTTTCTTTACTCACACTGGCAGAAATTTGTGCTTTGTATTGAGTTTTTCATTCTTTGTTGTTCTGTTTACTCACAGGTTTGTGCAGAGCTATAGGAGTCAGTAACTTCCTCATCCCTCACTTGGAGCAGCTCATACAAGACTGTACAGTAGTGCCTCATGTCAATCAGGTAGGGCAAACTGGGTCTGGATAGATGTTTTCAATCATCATACAGAATTCTAGAAATACCGTTCCACACTAAGTCATTCCTTGTCATACTAGAAACATCTAACATTTGTAAGTCTACACATGTAGCTTGTCAATAAAAGATGATAGTGGTCAACAAATTGGACAACTGGAAGTCTGGCACCATATTTAATGTTCTAACATTGTGTTCCCCTTGCAGGCATTTTATAACATAAAATCATTTATATTCGGATTCCACTTCACCCCTAATAGTGTGAATCGGTACTGGATCTTGGGAAAATCCCAGTTCACCCCTGCATCATCTAGTTCCATTATACTCCCTGCGAAGCCCATTAGAACCCAGTTCAGAATGAATGACTCCTTTCCACTTTGCTGGAGATTATTTTCCATTCATCCCTTGTTCATGTTGCCCCCTGAGCTCTCAGCTTGGACTGGAGCCAACTTGTACTAGTACCAAATGAATCATTATCAGTTACAGTAGGGGAGAATAATATTTAGGCCACGGCAAGTAAATTGTATGGATGACATCTACATGTGCATTGATTTTTTTTTCACTTGGCGATTTGACACCACAAATACTAGTAGATATTAATTTGTTTATTTGTTTTAATGGAAATGTTGTCAAACTCCAACACTCGAACATTACTAGTATCATATAATATGGAATCATTGGAATGCATGTACACACCCTAAGGCTTATACCTACATAACATTACGTACTTTGTACAATGTAAGTGATGAACGTAAAGTTTATACCAAATCACTTTGTACTAAAGCCTCTATTTCTCTTGTACACTGTCCAATGCAGAACTTATTGTGATATTTTCCATTCTTCTGTGATGTTACAGGTAGAATATCATCCTTACCAAAACCCCAAAGACTTGATCAAGTTTTGCCAGGCACACAACATCACAGTGGAGGGCTACTGTCCTCTAGCCAAGGGCAGTGCACTCAAGGAGCCAGCCATCACTGCGATAGCCACTAGATATCAGAAGACACCAGCACAGATCCTCATACGCTGGAGTATTCAGGTTAGTCTATACAAGAAAAGATACAGGAGTACCACACTTACATGTACCATGGGAATACAACTATTATGGCAAGGGGTACATTTTTGCCCTCTTCATCTGTTTCACAAATCAAACATCACTGCAGTAGCTTCAAAATACCAGAAGACACCAGCACAGATCCTCATACGCTGGAGTATTCAGGTTAGTCTATACAAGAAAAGATACAGGAGTACCAAACTTACCACGGGAATACTACTATTATGGCAAGGGGTACATTTTTGCCCTCTTCATCTGTTTCACAAATCAAACATCACTGCAGTAGCTTCAAAATACCAGAAGACACCAGCACAGATCCTCATACATGTATGTTGGAGTATTCAGGTGAAGTATTAATTACTAAGTAAAATAAAAGTTACAGGTGTAACAGGCAGGGATATACCCCTAGCTGAAACTTACCCCGAGTACATTCTTGCCAGGGGCAAATTCTGGCCTGTTACACATGTAGCATCAAACAAAGATTTACATTTGTACTACTTTGTGCCTTGTCTTGTTTGACACAGTTATCACTTTAGGAGATGTATATTAATAGAAATTTTCTACAAGATGGTATAATTTAGAAAACAGTGAAGAAATATTCAGTTACAATGTTGTTTCAAAAATAAAAAATAGAGCATTTTCAAGACCTTGAATTATCAGAAAATGTTGGCACTGGTTGTTGAATAAAAAAATCTTCTTGTACTGAGTAGGATCCTGTGTCCAAAGTTCCCAAAAGTTCTACCTTTTCCCCAACTCCTATTCATCCTGTTCCCTCCCTGTAACATTACTGAAACAGCCAAGAGAAAAAACATAGCCACAAGATTTACAATGTTCCAGACTCACCTCTTAACAACCCACACCTGACATGAGCCCCTCTCACTTACACACTGACTAAGATGGACTACTGTAATCATACCTTACCTATTACAGAAGGAGACATTTGACCTGCTTTCTCTCTACAGTAATGTGGATATATCTCAGGTCTTACTAGAGGCTCTGCATGCCTCTTTTCATGATGCATAGCGAGCCGTGTTAATGCACCGTTAATTGTAGCTGGCTATACTTCAATGTTAAGCATTGTCAAGAAATGATCCATGAAATGTAATTGGCCACTTAAATCCTGCGTAGTGCGTTACTTGTTATCCTGAATTCATTGTCAAGCATTATTGAAAAGTCTTCGTACAGTGTAGTCAAACATATGCCAGATTGCCCCCAAAAATTGCAATGGAGTGTCCGGTATCCGGTGTCCACAGACTGCATGTAGTTTGACAGATACTCCATGAATGCGAAAGAACAACCCAAAAACAACTTACATGTACTGTAATTATCATTTAGTTGCTAGTCTTCCTAAATTTCAGTGTTACCAGCCACCCTCCTAAATTCAGCGTAAAGCGTTGCCGGTATCCCCCTATGCTGACCCTCTTACTAAGTGGATATACATTGTCGGCCCACCTGGGAACCATTATAGACTCACTGTATTGGACCTCTGAAAAACTGGAACTCATTTCAGTGCAAGCTTAAAGCCAACTTTGTGAAACTAAAGACCCATTACTAGGCTTGGCTACCCAGTGTGGTTGGGAGTATAGGAATACCATCAATTTTACATGGACCCAGTTTGTTTCAGCGATATGTTAGCATTAAGGTTTATAGATTCGTGTAATGACCCTTGGCTAACTCTGAAGGATTTATGATCTATAGTTTCGAGTTCCATGGATTGACGCATAATCTTCTTTTTGAGTTTGAAAATCGGCTTACGTTGATGACACTTGGATTTGTAGAGAGCCACTATTATTGTTATATAAGTTTTTTACAGATATACCTGTGCAATGGGCATATTTTGGAGATCTACAGAGTTACAGTTGCTTATGACAAATGGACGTTATGCTTGTAACTTGAACTTGGTATAACAAAATAAGGATATACTTGAGTTTTATTCTATTCAGGTGTTCCAGTATTTTGAACCTGTCCCTACATATCATGCCAGTACCACCGGTATGCAGTACTTTTGAGTACATGTATGTTGCCCACTCGTTTGATCTTTTCCAATGTCCCAAGACAGTAGTATCCACAGCCCACTGAAAGCATTGTAAATCAGGTACAGATGCACTTTACACAAGTTAGATGCTTGGAGAATGTGTTTCAACACCCTCTGCCAAGAGTTTTTTTTTTTTTCAAACTTCAAAGTTCACAGGTACTCTGGGGTATCAATGTGGAAGCCAGATTTTATGACTGTGTGGTGCTTTTGTGCATAAAACATATCAGGGAAATACCACCATGGTGTAAAACACTACTCTACTCTTATACAAGCTGCATAACACAAGCACATTGTCAGAATGTACTGCACCTGTGCAAATCCTGTAATGTATTGTCCATAAGTGTGATGGGTTCTTAAGCACAAGATGTGGCACCCCTAGCCAAAACCTAGGTGCTTATTTTCACAAGGATGCAACATTGGGAAACACTAGGGATTCAAACCTAGATCCTAACCACAAGGTCCTCTTTATGTTAAATCTTAACTTTGCTGACAGGTAACTAGTTACAGTACAGCTACTTCTTGTAACCCACAGATGAACTAAGTCAATGTGGAGTACTTCAAGGTACATTATTAATCCCCCACCTCAGTAGAAGTAGGTTAATGTTCCCAGGTTAATGTATAACTTCATCATCATCAGCCCTCAGGAGTTTAGCTGTCATGACCTTTCCCTAGGCCATCCCAATTTCATTTGTTCTTCAATTTTTCAGGAAATCAATGAAGCAGATGGGTGTAAAATAAACAGGCCTAAATATCCTGTGATAGCCCCAACGGCCACTATAGGAGCCACAAGTCAACATGCTAGTACTGGACTGGTTTATGATTCAAACAAAAAATTTTGAACTTTAAATAAAATCACTGCATTGCAGAAAAAATGTAACAACTAGGACAACAAGAAGGACATCCTGTAAGTCTTGTGGTCAAAATATGAGCATTTTGTGGGTTGATTCACAACCAGAATGGTGCATGTACTTATACATGTTTTTTGGGGGGAAAATTTGTAAAAAAAGATATGAAGCGGTTGAATCAGAGAACCAAGAAATTAAATTAGAGTGGCCTTCTACAACATTTCATTTTGAGTTTTATGTACAGCCCTCATCCCCAGTATATACCTCCTCTCCCAGGTATTTCTAGTAGACGATGTAAAGGTTATAGAAAGGTTAGGAACTCTATCATGATTCTATCGTTCAAGTGTAATTTTACTGGTGAGCCAGTGAAAGACAAAGTCAATGTCATGTTGCAATTTTCTGTGGGATATTCCAGTGAAATTTTAAAGTCTGGATGCTATCCTTTCCCCCTCAAAGCTCTCTGTACCTTCCTCCTAAAAAGTCCTAATTATAACTTGCTATGTCTTTTGAATTAAGATCCACAAATCCAACTGTAGCAGTCCAGCATATACCTCACCAGAATATACCCAGGTATACTCTAACCATGAGTATGTTCCTGCCTGTTACACAGGAGTTACATAACAGTTCCAGCCTTGGCTGCCTTAAACACCAAAGCTTTGCAGGTTGGAAGATAACAAGGCCAAATTTGGCTCGCAATCTCGCAAATCATCAAGCACATAAATTGCTTTCAATTCAAATATAAATTGCTTTCCAGCAACAACTCTAACCTTTAACCAAAGTTACACTCTTGATTACCACTTTTAATTGACTCCAGTGTGGAGATCAAGTCTTGTTACATTTGATTTGTTACATTGCAACTCCAATCAATTTGCAACTGGAAAATGCTTAGCAGAAGACTTCAAATTGCTTAGCAGAAGACTTCAAATACATGATTGTGCTCAACTCAAACGCTTGGAAAGTTTGGAAAGTGACAGTTGGAAGTTTGCCAATGTAAGAACCAGAAAATATTCAAAGATTTAAAAGACATTTGCTCTACTACATTGTAGACAGCTTGGAAAGTTGGGGAAGCCGAGAGTTGGAAGTTTGCCCATGTAGGAAATCAGAGATAGATATGAATGGAATTTTTCATCTGGGATTGACCTACATGTGTGTGTGAGGTGCACAGAGGGCGACCCCATCAGGGGCTTGTATCAAGGGTGAAGCAATCTTTACTGAATGAAGCGAGAGCGTGATTGAAAAGTGCTGCTTCGCTGAAGTACGTGACGTCCAAATTACGACTCGGGGCCTCGAGCTGTCATCAGATGAAATGAAAATCACACACAGTAGACGTTACATGTACTCTGGATTGAGCTGGATGTGATAGAGAGAGCATCATTGCCAGAAACATTTTATCATTATATTTTCAGGGTATGGGAAATTGTAGTGTAAAAGATTAGAATTCAGAAAAACATCTGAACCAACCAAACATAACTGTTGCACCAATGACTAGTAAGGAATAGAGAGAGTAGCATTACCAGAACAGTTCTAAAAATTTTGTTTTCAGTGTTCAGAAAAATATAGTGTAAAAGATTAGAATTCAGCAAAAGAACCAAATGAATCAAGCATAAGTGTTGCACCAATGTGTTCCCTGATGTAACAATTTGATAAGTGGAGATTTTGTATTGATCCAGACCTCAACCCAATTCTTAACTGTAAATTTTCACATTTTAGCAGTGTTTTTGAATTCCCAGGGTTTTTTTTTTACTGACTTTTCACCACGAACTCATCACATGCAAACATGTTCTTTCTTCCATTGTATTACAACCCTTATGTCAAGTGCAAACTCAACCACATTGCAAACTCTTGATTTCCGTCGTGGTGCATTATTTGAGTCCCACAAACTTTAAAACAAATTTACAGTACTTGTTATTTTCCAAACCTGCCGCAATCACCATGTTTTCAGCACCAGGAACAGCGACCAGGGAGGAGGAGGAACGATTTTCTGTCTCCTCGCCAAATGGATCCCTGATGTTGTAACTAGTGAAGCGGTAATCACCTTGTTTTCCCATTCAACTCCCATCACCATCCCATTCATTACCAAACACACTGCCGCTGAGGGACTATTACCTAGATTCCCCTGCAACTCTGGATGTTGTTAGAGTGTCACGGATACCGGTGTAGGCACGTCTCCAGCAGAATACTAAGAGGTCTACGCTGGTTTATTGGCACTCTGGCATGGTTCGTGAAGCTGAAAATATTCCATCTTTAGAGTGGAAGCGTTGTGCACTTCATCTTCACATGGGGCATGGATTTTACTCTTGCTGCTCAGAAAGTGCTCGCGTGGATTGAAAATCATGTAAAACATTGGTGCGAGTATTTGGCTCAGAATCAAGAGGTTCTTGGTTTAAATCACTGAGTTCTTGTGCCCCTGGGAAAGGTCCTAGAAGTTAGATCAAAGGTCCCGGAATTTAGGGAAGAAGTTATCTCATTTCCTGTCTTCAATTTGCTGCTGTATGCAAACATGTAGTTAGCTGTTGCCAAGTGTGTTAGCAAGTTTGACATGCCATAGGCATTCTAATCAATGAAAAATTCACAGTACCAGTAATGAATAAAATATGACATTCGCAACAACTTTAGATGTTCTAGTAAAATGTTGAACTTCAGTCCAACACAAAGATTACACAGAGATCAAATTTTTAACGACCACAGTCGCCTTCATCAGGATAATGAATGACCAGTCACTTCAAAACTTAACATAAAAACTTGAGATATTTCACACTGTCAGAGATATGAGATCTTTGATTTCCTATTCCATATGTTGAGCCTATTGTTACAATGTGTCTGTGGGCTGCTTTTTATAAATGGACACAATATTTTGTATGTGTTTCAGAATGGCATAGTCACCATTCCAAAGTCCACTAAAGAGGAGAGAATCAGAGAAAATTGCCAGGTGAGTTAACATTGCAATCTTCTTGCCTTATGTGGATTGAATCCCCAATAGCTGGTGGTATGAAAAGCTGAAAAGCTAACAGTGGAATTTTATGTGCCCTTCTTAGGTAGTGGACTTTCTGAAAAGAGCAATTTGTTTGAAAAAAACTTTTTTCAAAATTCCAAACTTAGCATCTTTCTGGCAACTGTTTCCGTTTCTATTGCAGGTGTTAGACTTTGACTTACTTAGACTTAGGGGCTCCCGCGTCTCGTGACGCATGAGGCAGTCAAAGCAGCCCAGCTTCCTCTGTCAGCAGCCAGCCTCAAGGCTTCCTTCCAGCCCATGCTGACTGCCCGAAGGTCCCTCTCCACTGTCTGTCGCCAGTTCATTCTTGGGCGCCCCCTCCTTCTCCGTCCTTCTGGGAACCACTGCAGGACTTGGTTGGCTAGTCTGACAGGTGGAAGTCTGACAGCGTGTCCTAACCAGCTGAGCCGGCGTTTGCAGATGATGGAGGACACTGGTTGTTGCTTAGTTTGAAGTCTGATGTTATTATTCGAGATAAAGTCATCCCATCTAATGCCCAGGATTTTCCTTAGACACTTGCTGTCAAAGGCATCAAGTCTCCTTTCTTGACTTAGTTTCAGGTGCCAGGTTTCGCAGCCATACAAAAGTGTGGACAGGACGTTGCTGTTGTAAAAGCGCATCTTGGTCTTGATGGACAGTTTCTTGTTTCTCCAGAGTTTGCCCAGCTGGTTAAATGCTGCTGAAGCCTTACCAACTCTGCAGTCAAGTTCTTTGTCCATGTCACCATTGCTATTGATGGAGCTTCCAAGATAAGTGAAGTTTTGAACTATTTCCACTTCCTTCCCATCAATGAACACAGATGTAGGTGGCGGATGAGATCCTGTCAGCATATTCTTGGTCTTCTTGCCACTGATGGTGAGGCCTATTCCTCCTGCTGTGGAACCAATCTCGCTCACTAGGGCCTGGAGGTCCTTTGTGGATTCTGCTAAGCCGGCAATATCGTCTGCGAAGTCAAGATCAGACAGTCTTTGTCCTTGCAGCCATGGTATTCCTTTATCCTTAGTTGACTGTTGCAGCACCCAATCTATGGCAAGGGCAAACAGAATTGGAGACAGCACACATCCCTGGCGGACCCCAGTCACCACCTCAAACCACCCGCTGAACCCATCATCTGTCCTTACACAGCATTTGGAGTCAGCATATATGTGTTTGATGGCTGAAATGACTTTGTTGGGTAGTCCGTACATTTGCATGATGTTCCATAATGAGGGCCTGTGAATGCTATCAAACGCTTTAGTAAAGTCAATAAAGCTGATAGCCAGTGTGGACTGAAACTCATTGCACTTCTCTATTATGCGTCTCAGGGTGAATATTTGTTCCGCACAAGATCGCTTAGGTCGGAATCCTGCCTGCTGCTCCCTCAGTTCTTCGTCAACTGCATCTCGTATGCGGTTCAGGAGACTTAGACTTTGAGCTGAGTGAAAATGATATGGAATACCTGAATGGCTTACATGCCGACCTGCACATGAGTTGGAACCCTGCTGATATTCCATGATGTTGGGAGTTCATGTCATCTTGATATTGGATAGCTAACAGTCAAGAGATCATGACTGATCATTGTCAAAAGAAGTAATGATACAAATCAGTGAAATCCAATCAGGCATCTACATACAGAGATTATAATGAATTCTCAGAAATACATGATACTACTTAACCTTGAGATTCTCTCAATAGATAGACTTTGTAACTACATGTACAACAAAGCTCACCTTTATTTATTAATGTCACATACAGAAGCGTTACCTAGAGTAACCCAATGTATACAGAGACCACATTTCAAAGTACATGTACATGTACATGTACATAACAGAGACAAGCAAAACATACGAAGACCTCCTAAGCACAGTAAGGAAACTAATTTACCTAAACTGTATCTCTATGTTTGTATTCATCTGCCATTTTTAAATAAATATTGCTGGTTTATACGCATTATATGGTAAGTACTTGTACAAACTCTATCCTGCTACTGTATGTACATGTACATGCACACAGAGCCAATCCAAGACTCAGGTGAAAACAAAAGGTGCTGCGCAGTGAAGTGCTTCCTAGGCCAGGCATAAGGAATATTCCTTAAGCTAACAGAAGACCTTGAACCTCGAGTCGTCAACATCTCTCGAGACAACCACCAGGTTTGCAGTAAGATCAGCTTCATGACTTGAGAGGAGCCCTAATCAGTCCCACTGGGAGGCCCGGATCAGTCCAGTACTCATCACCAGTGCTGGAAGGTCGTGTGTGACTCATTGTCTGATGGTTCTAGTCCCACGGCGTGCTACAAATGACTTAATGATGGTGCTCGGGTCACTCTGTGGATACCTTTGGGGACCACCGGTGGGCTTAGGTCCCGGGCTAACATGGTGTCTTGTTTGGACTAACCACAACAGATTTCAATTTCAAATGCAGTCGCTTGTCAGTTTCTTTGGACAACAATGACTGGTTCTGATTTGTACTGCAGCAAGGTGACACTGATGCAGAATTACAAATGCAGTCCCTAACATACATGTAGAGTGTTGTCACATTGTAATATATATACATGTACATATTATCAAGTACAGTAATGATAAGTTTCAGTTATTTCTTTATCTGAAGAAGGTGACAGACAGTCACCGTAACATCAGATGTAAAAACCCATTGGTTGTGGAATAAAGAACCTTCTTACACATTCTCTTTCTAACCTGATGAAATTATTCACAAGTGCTTGCAGTGTATACAAAGGTGCTTTGGTTTGGCAAATAACACCAAAGTTTCCCCCTAATTCCCCCACAGGTTTTTGACTTCAGTCTATCAAGAGAAGACATGGATCACCTGCACAGTCTGCATGATGGCAGGAAGATGTGTGAGCTCAGCTCTATAGCCAGCCTGGTCATGAAGACTGGATGACTAGACGGGTGAACAGTCCTGGAGAAACTACAGAGGAGAAAGAATTACGAAGATGCAGTCTCAACCAGACTCCTTAACTTGCTGGAAGAGTAGTCTCGAAATTAGCCAACTTGGGTGAATACTTTTCCATTTCTTAGAGGTTCGTGACGTCAAATGGCTGAGTGATTAAGCAAGTGGAGAGGAGACTCAAGAGATCTTGACAAGTACAAGATGAATGTGTTGGGAAAGACCAATACTTATGCCCTAGACACAGTGGATCAACAACCCACTGCACCTACACTTCTGTGCCAAAATTGACCAGTGTCAACTGTCAAACTATCTATATATCTTGTTGCATTTTTATTCAATATTAATGAAAGTGTCTGTGATGGTTACACATGTATTACACTTTTATTTGGACAAGAATAATTTTTTGCTTCAGACTTTGTAGGCGAAGAAGATATTGTTTGATGACTTCTGTTTTAGTTGTAACAGTAACTTTTTTAAGATATTGTGCTATTTCAAGCGTAGAGTTAGAAATTTTTTACAGAATACCCAAAACCATTCCACATGATATGTGACATTTGTTGCATGAAGTCACTCTTTAACTGTGAATATGGCATTAAGTCCATAGACATGTCTGTTTTACACAGTTTTATAAAACATTATTTTTATACATGATGCAGTGTCAGGAGACAGATACATATGATTCCATTATCAAAATATCTAAGCTTATGTATATCTATTCCAGTGACCTGGAGTCACCTAAATTAGCCATAAACCTTTAACTTTTGACAATCATGTACTGTATATACTTGAAACTTCTTCCTTACTTATCAAAGCTTACACCTTTACTCAATTGCTTCTAAGTTACTTTGTAGCTGTTTAAGAAGTGATTTTGCATTTTACAATTTTTGAATTGTACTACAATATCATCCCAAATCATGATTTTTTTTCAAATCATGAATCTCTTTTACATAAACTTTATTACCTTTTGATGTTGTATTTACAATATCCTATGTATTTATTATTACTTATGAAGTCACTGTTAGCTTGCATAGTGCACTATTAAGTTATATTTATGTCACAGTAGAGGTATATTTTCGTAGTTTAGCCATGTTAGATAGTATATAGATATTACAATATGTATTAGATCTCATTGTAATAAAAGTATTTTTACTTTTCAGATTTCAGATTGACTGCAGGGGAACTTTGCATGACATCCTAGTAGGAGGAGTGTTTTCTTGCAGTATTTATGTTCATCCATTGCACACTTAAAATCAAAGTACAACACCATTACACATTGTTATCACACTAGCGTCTTTTGATGTTGTACGGAAAACCGTTTAACTCTGTGATCATTGTGTTGCAGTTGAAGCTTCCATCTTTCATCAAAGCAACGTCTGTCACTGCCAACTCCCATGGATCATTAGACATTGCTCGGTTGAGAGAAAAAAATTGCAACTTAGAATACTTGCACTCTTTTATCTTTTACCTTGAAGCCATTCAAACTAAAAGGCGCCTTTGTTCCTCAAAAGTCTAAAAGCAATTAGTTTTCACGCAGACTCAATGGACTATACCAGAACCTCAGCTCAGTAGCTAGATTCTAAATTCGGCACTAAAGATGTCCTTGTCTCGGTCAGACTGCTTGCAGCTTTGATACTCATTACAACCTGTGCGATAGGAATTTGCTGGGCATTTAGGAAGCCCTAAGGAGTCTGGTCTAGACTATGAAATATGTTCTGAGGTATGCTGTCCAGACAGAAAAATGTGTACGACATACTGGACACGCAGAGAGGATTGGTGACTTTCTGTGTCTAGATGAATTTGAAGATAATGTTTAATTTAGTAATATCCCATTGTCAACTTTCCAAGTTCAAACTCATACGTGTAAACTAAACTTAGATAACATGGGAAAAACTAAGCCACCACTCTTTGAAGTGGTAGTTCTTTTAAAAGTTCTGAATGAATCTTAACCCTTAAGGGCATTTTCTGCTAGACTAAGTTAAGGTTTAGGAAGAGGAAAAATTAACAGGCGACTGGAGCAATCAAGCCTAAAGCTATAACCCACGACTTTCGCGTGTTAAGCGCTTTGGCAAGATAAAAATAGTCCGCAGCTTAAGATAAGAACCCTCCAGAGAAATTTGAACACGACTCCATCAGTGAGCGGAGTTTCTAACAGCAACTTCCGACTCCCCACAGGTTCACATGCAGCTAAATATAGTCCCCAAGTTGTCAGCCGCTGATTCGGCTGGACCACACGCGCGCTTTCTGCCGACTGACAGCGTAACAACCTCGAGCCTAACAGGCTTCTTGTATCAAGGTGATGAAAGCTCCTTGGTTGTATTCAGAACCGTGCTTTATCCAGAACCATGCTCAGACGCGGTTCTGGATAGTCCACGACCCCACGCGCATCCAGAACCAGACGATCTTGGATACGCAGAGGCTATCCAGAATCGTGCCTGATTCTAATTCTAACCATTAGGCATAGAACTAGATTGGTACGGTTCTGGATACAATAGGGATATCACATCCCGATGAAATCGGGACATTCCTCTAGAAAAAAAACCCGGACATTCCTCGACATTCCTCTTGATTGGACAGGATGTAATGGCAAAGGAAACTCCAGTCCACTTAAGCCTAACCCAGTCTGACCTAGCCTGGCCTGGGTGCCACCAACTGACCTGCGTCAAAAGCACGCTTTCACAAAATAAGCGTGTTCTAGAGCATCGGCCCTTCGACTAGTTGGTGTGTTGGGTTCTCAAGCTGGCGGCCTGGGTACGATTCCCGGGATCCGGAGCCAAGAGTTTTCGTGTTCTACTCGCCTCTAGTTGTTTCAACCGGCATACAAATAGGAGATGGCACCCAGGCTAACTCCGTATCCAGTCGGCCTAGTCTGCTGCTAATGCACTCTTGATCTTACTTCAACCCAGCGGCGAGCAATTGATTTCCCTGACCTGTGCGAGATTTCCGCTTACAGCGCGGGACTGCAGGGGTCGGATTGAATACTGGAGATGCATCACTTCTAAGGAAATAAGAATCGTTTTGATGTTTTCAAACAGAGGAGGTCCTCTTGTAGCTCGCCTTGCTGCACAACCGCATTTTGATTGTGTCAGTCCGGAAGAGTGGCTAAAGTGAAGTCAAATCAGACCATGGATATGCTGTGAAGTACGTGTGAACCTCTCTCTTAATAGCCACACTTCACACGCGATGTCCTTATAGTAGGGTGAAGCATGAAACATACATACACGATGTTTCAAAACTTTTTAGTACCGGCCAAAGTTTACATTTTAACTTTAACTGGTGCAATGTCCAAGTGGGCAGAGTGCTTGCCTTGCATTCGGGAGGTCGTGAGTTCGATCCCCGGCCGAGTCGTACCAGAGACTTAAGAATGGTACATACTACTTTCTCTGCTTAGCACTCAGCATTTTAAAAGAGTATGGGAGTTAAACACACAACACTAACAGTGTACTAACCCCCTGCTGTAGCGATTGCACAAGTGTGTGGCCCAAGGGCTACAGAGACGGAGATAGGCGCCGCCATATGCGACCATGATAATGGTTGCGGGGAGGACTTTAACTTTAAAGTTTACAGTGTACATATGAGTTCATGAACGTTTGCAGTACGTTGAAACTTGTCTATATGTAATGACCGCCGCTCAAGGGGCGACAACGTTATAGTAGACAGGTGGCCACTATAGATATGCTTGGGTCAGCGGTAAGAATGATAAAAACGGTCACAATGGTCCCTATGCAGAGAGGTTCGCCTATACACATACACTGTTTGCCTTAGTTTATTGCCTTGCTTCAAAGGAACTCATTCTTCATACGAATCAGTTTGGGAAAAAGTTTCATCGAAGTCTTGCCGAAGCAAATGCAACCACGGTGTTCAGAGAAACAGTTGGACCTGTGAAGTATGGGTCAATGACCTGTAATCACAAGCCCACATTATGCCGACCATAATATTAACCTCATCGATGTCGTCTAATGTCCAAGCAGATTTAATGTCTGACTCAGTGTTTTACGAGTCTTCTTGTATCGTATGACATTGAAGAAAATGCAGGTCTGCAATGTTGATATGTTAATGATATTGATATTATTGAATTGCTAGGAGATTATCGTTGTCCCTTCAGTACTATGAGAATGTCTTAATTCAATGATAAGCTGAAGGAGCTAACTTAGTTGTCACATGCCAATCAAACTCGTAATTCTTTCTCCCTGTAAATCAAGACGACCAGGCCGTGTACACTGTCCTCGTGTGCACTCCACCAGCCAGTCTGATGTCACGTACTGTGCGATGGTCCGATCTGCCTGTCCATCAGGACCACAAGGTGTTTCCGTGCCCCGCCAAACCCCAATCCCTTCCGCTTACACAGTCCCGCTGTGCCGCTTCCCTGTCTGATCCGGTCTTCCCGTGCAGATCCACATCCCCTCTGGCAAACGTCCACAGAGATGTGGTGTTGGGATAGCCTCTACCAGGCTTCGGGAGCGGTTGGAAAAGGCAGAAATAGAGCTGGTCCGCCGAGGAGTACATTTGCCGCTTCCCTGTCTGATCCGGTCTTCCCGTGCTGATCCACATCCACTCTGGCAAACATCCACGGAGATGTGGTGTTGGGATAGCCTCTACCAGGCTTCGGGAACGGTTGGGAAGGGTAGAAATTGGCCATATAGACAGATAACATACCAGGGGAGTTGGTCCGCTGAGGAGTACATTTGCCGCTTCAGAAGCCTGGTATAGGCTATAGTAAGACGGCAATTAAATGATCTCCAAGCAGATTCTGTGGGGCAAGAGGAGTATATATATTGCCACCTGTATCCATTGGTTTCCTGTATCCTACTGGCTGCGGCTGAAGTTCTAGCCTATAACTCGGTACAACTTGGGTCTATGCACTCAAAAGTCTTAACTATATAGCCTCCGCCAAAGGCAAAGAGATATCCTCCTACACTGTTAATTAAGAAAGCCCTCCATACACTGCGTTTTTCAAAAGGCCTCCGAGGAAGGATGGCGACCGTGAAAATTGGAAAGGCGCTCTAAAATGCCTTCGCATCACTTTTGGAAACTACGTGCCTTCTAAAAGTGTGTGTACATAATGACTTCATTCAGAGATCAAACGCCAGCGAAGCCAAGAGGGAACACAAACTAAATTGACGCACAGCCGGAGTTTCTATGAAGTCCGTTTGACGTCGCAACGGAGATTTAACTATACTATATCAAAAAGATCTTTGCGCAATTAAGCTTAATCAGAGAACTTTGCAGCGATGAGGTTCGAGACGTGAGCAATTTGTACGCTAATCAACTATCTACATGAATACACACGAGATCGTGTGTTGTCCTTGTAGGTTTTGTAACAGCATTACCATATTAAGAGGCTAGCTGAAGCTACTAAAGAAAATACAGGGTGTCAGCTTTAATGAACTATCTGCCCAGTCAGCAGTTTTAAAAGTTTACGGCTTTGC